TAGAGCGTCGGCCTGCAGACTGAAAGGTCCCAGGTTCGATTCCAGTCAGGGACATGTACCTTGGTGCAGGCACATCCCCAGTAGGGGGTGTGCAGGAGGCAGCTGATCGATGTTTCTCCCTCATCGATGTTTCTAACTCTATCCCAGCGGTTCTCAACCTGTGGGTCACGAACCCTTTGGGGGTCGAACGACCCTTTCACAGGGGTCGCCTAAGACCATCGGAAAACACATATATAATTACATATTGTTTTTGTGATTAATCACTACACTTTAATTATGTTCAATTTGTAACAATGAAAATACATCCTGCATATCAGATATTTACATTAAGATTCATAACAGTAGCAAAATTAGTTATGAAGTAGCAACGAAAATAATTTTATGGTTGGGGGTCACCACAACATGAGGAACTGTATTAAAGGGTCGTGGCATTAGGAAGGTTGAGAACCACTGCTCTATCCCTTTCCCTTCCTCTCTGTAAAAAATCAATAAAATATATATTTTTTTAAAAAGAAGCCTGCACAGCGATGTTTACAGCATCTTTGTAATCGCCCAAACGTGGAAGCAACCAAGATGCTGTCGAGATGTCCATCCACAGGGGAACAGGTACACACATGAAATGCTACTCGGCAACTATATACAAGACACTTCCGCCACACACAACAAGAGTGGGTCTCAGAATTATGTTCAATAAAAGCAGTTCGCACAAAAGAGCATAGACTGTATAATTATATGTAATTTTACAACAAGTAAAACTAATCTATGATGAAAAAAAGTTTTTACGTGTTTGCCTGGAGGGCAGGAACCTGGGGAGGACTGTGAAAGAACTTTCTGGAGTGATGGAGCTATCCTGATAAAGGCTTGACTTACACAGGTGTGCGCACTTATGAAAATTCATGGAAGGACCGTGGCGGGTGTGGCTCAATGGGTTGGGCGGCATCCCATGCACCTGAAGGTGGCTGGTTCGATTCCCGGTCAGGGCCCATGCCTGGGTTGTGGGCTTGATCCCCCAGTGGGGAGCGTGTAGGAAGCAGCTTGTCAATATTTTTTTTCTCTCTCTCTCCCTCTCCCTTCCTCTCTCTAAAATCAATAAAAAATAAAAATATTTAAAATATATTTTTTTAAAAGCTGATGGAATGGAACACTTAAGATTTGTGCACTTCATTGTAAATTTTATGGACAGGTGGGCAGCTAGGTGTGTGAATGCATGAATGCCTGTATATGCTATTTATTTTTTTTAAAATAAGTTGGAGGGGGGCTGAGGAGGGGGGTAGAATACCTTAAGCATGACATATACACACAGGCACGCCTATGATGAATCATTTTCCTAGCAAATCTTGAAAGTCTATAAAAGGTCACTGGAAGAATCCAGTAAAATGTTTCACCGTGTCTTGTGGCTTATAATCTTTTTACAGGCATATAAAAAGAGTTTTATGTCCATGCAATTGCTAAGCCACTGGTTTCATTACAAGAAAGAAACATCAGGGGGGAAAAAAACAACAACAAACCTGTGAGCTCCTAAACTTTGGGGTACAAATAATATTATAATCTGGAAGAGGGAAAGACATAAAGGAAAAGAGAAAATGGATAATAAAAGATCATTAGGATGCGAAATAGGCACCTGGCTCATGAATTACCTTGAAAGCACAATTTTAAAATATAATTATCTCGATTCATTCCCTCCTGAGGAAATGTACATGTAAAGCCAGTGGTTTCTCCCTGGCCCACTGACAACCTTAAGCCAGGTGGCTTCTGGTGTCCCCATTCGAAGAGGCACAATCCCTTTGTGGGAGGCCAGGCTGGAGAAAAATTTGCAAAGGAAGGGAGAGACATCAAGTAGATGTCGGCTCTTATTGCAGACAACATCGAGGCTGATTAGCTGTGCGGACCAAGCGCCCAACAGGAATCTCTCACCACTGGAAAGTCGGACATTCGGGGTGCTGGCTGCTTGCTCTTCAACCCAACCCCCCCTGCAGCCGGGGCAAGGCCGCCTGTGAAGGTGCCAGGGAGGGCGTTACCGTCACAGTGGGAGAGTTCACTGTCATCTTATTCTTTCTCATGGACGCCCCAAAAAACTCAAGAACAGTGCAGAAGATGGGCATGGAAGTTAAAGTACTTTTGTTATTTTGGAATATTTAATAATCTGACTGCCAAAACCGGTTTGGCTCAGTGGATAGAGCGTCGGCCTGCGGACTGAAGGGTCCCGGGTTCGATTCCGGTCAAGGGCTTGTACCTGGGTTGCGGGCACATCCCCAGTGGGAGATGTGCAGGAGGCAGCTGATCGATGTTTCTAACTCTATCTCTCTCCCTTCCTCTCTGTAAAAAATCAATAAAATATATTTTTTAAAAATAATCTGAGTATATGTGGGAAGCAACATAGCATCTTGCCTTTTAGAGTCAGGCCAAGGTTCGACTGTTGGCTCTGCCATGTGACCTCGGGAGTTACTTAACCAAGCTGACCCTCAGGTTCCCTATGTTCTTATATCCTTACATGTCTCCCTGGGTGTCTGTGAGAATTAAATGCAATAGCACAGGTGAAGCATCTAATACAGCTCCGCAATGCCTTATCCGCATCCCCCAAATCAAAAAATTCCAACAACCAAAGCCTTTTCCTAAATCATCTGTAGGCAAAACCTGACCTGAGGCCATTTAGTCTGCTTTTTAATCCACTTATGTGAGCATTTATGTTTCTCTGCAGAAATATTAATGTTTGATTATATGGAGTTGCCCTAGACCCTCCTGGAGTATTACATAATGTCTGGTATATGCACCCTCTTCACTTTGTAAATCCGAAACATTATGAATTTTCAAAACACACCTTGTCCGAAGAGTTTCAGATATGGGATTATGAACCCATATGACATCCTCACTCTAGTGTTAATTTATGAATTCCCTAGGCCCACTTCATTGCATATCAAGACTGCCTATGTATGGATTTCATTTATGTTAAAAGAGTTTATGTGGCCTGGCCAGTATGGCTCAGTGGTTGAGCGTCCACCCATGAATCAAGAGCTCCCAGGTTTGATTCCTGGTCAGGGCACATGCCCGGGTTGCAGGCTCCATCCCCAGTAGGCGTGCAGGAGGTAGCAGATCAATGATTCGCTCTCATTGATGTTTCTATCTCTCTAGTCCTTTCCCTTCCTCTCTCTCTAAAACCACAAAGATCTGACTTGTAGAAGCTGGTGTTTGAAAGTTGTACAAATTAAAGTGAGTCCAGTTACAGGAAAATAAGTAGTTCTCCGTTCACTGCAGGCTGCTTAATTCTTGGGCATAAGTTGTTCTGAAAGCTGTTACATGTTTATATTCATTTTTAACTACATAAAGAGATGAGTTAATAATAATAAAACCTTAATTAGGTTAAGAGCATACGTAACCAATTCTTTTCAATGTTTCCCAAATGCCAGTTGAGAGGATACCATTAGCATAACCGACCAGAGAAGTATTAGCACCATCTGGTGGTGAAACTGAAAACTGCATGTGTATATGCGCCCCCTCAGCTGTTAGAAATCAGTTCTCAAACTGAAAGAGGTTATTGACCCACAAGACAGTGTTATTTCCTCAAGTGCTGACTTCATTCTAGACTTCTATAATCAACGCCGCAAAGTCACAATAGCAGACGGATACATTTGCCAAGTTTATGTTAAAAGAAACAAATGAAAAAAAGAACAATTTTATAAGAATTAAATATATACATATGGTGTCCCCCCAAAATGTACACATACTTTGAATAATTAATTCCAACGAGTTAAATCTGGAAAAAAAAAACCATCAAGAAGATCGTCTGGTGCAGAGTAAATGTTCAAACAATGCCAGCCAGTCAAAGGAGCTCTTTAGCAGTTTGCATGGTGATTCTTTGATTATTACGCACAGCGTGAAAGTTTTCTCCTAGTCTGTTGCTTGTTTGTTTATGGACATTTATCAGGCAGGAGTCTGTTTATGCAACCAACCCTGTCACTTTTTTTTCTTTTATGGATTTTATTGTAACCTGGCTGTTTATCTCAACATCTTACTGAACTGACCTCTCCCAGTTTCTCAGTTTGTGGTCAGAATCTTAAGGTTCCTCTTTGGTCTCCCCAGACATCACTCGTGTTCCTTCCATGGATGACAACCACAGCCACTGCTTTTTCATGTTTCCCCTAACGAACACGTTCCTTTTGTCCATAAAAGGTGGGGAGCCTTTTATCCACTCCAGTGGTTCCAACAATCCCCGAGGGCAGCGACACTGACATCATTCGCACAGTACTTTTCACTGGAATTTTTATCTTGATGTTCCACAATCCTTTATATGCCCTAAGATAGAATCATCTCTAAGGGGTATTGTTATGCTTTGTTCCTTTAACTTACAACAAACAGTATGTGTGGGATATTTTTTATGAACAAAAGATTCTAATGTCTATGGAATATGCATACTCTCTAGTCTAGAAGAACACAAATGCTGGTAAAAGTGGGAGAATGGGAGAAGACATACTTTCCACGTTAACTTCCTTGTGCCTCTTGAAGTTTGTACTATGATGTTAAACGTATAAGTCTATCCTATATAATAAAAGGGACCTTCTCGTCAATCCCACCAAACCTATTCCTGATGTGGCTGGTGGTGTCACTTCCACACTCAGTCTCTGCTATGCACTGGGGGTCATCCTGTCCTTCAAATGCACATCAAGTACCATATGGAAATGGCACCTACTCATTCAACAGCAACCCTACTCATCCCTGACCCATCCATTCATTCAACAGCAATCCAACTCGCCTGACCCACCCACTCATTCAACAGCAACCCTACTCACCTCTCACCCATCCACTCATTCAACAGCAACCCTACTCATCCCTGACCCAGCCACTCATTCAACAGCCACCCAAAGCACACACAGTGAGTCCAGCCCTGGACACAGTTGAAAAGATGAAAAGATACTATCAATAAAATACACTCACGAAGCCCCATAGCTTGGGGTGCAGAGCAGCCACACCACACGTTTAAACAGGATTTCTAAAAAACGGATTCCTTAAGCCATTTGCAAGTATTTATTTAGGTAAGAGATCATAAAACACATTTTATAATACACATAAGAAAAAACACATTCAAATGAATAAAAGATAAAATGACAGGAGGTGACAGAATTTAGTGTTTATAAATGAGAACATCAATAACTTTAACAATTTAGAGAAGAAACTTAAAGTGTACTTAAAAGTTTGAGACCATGCTTTACAATATTTTATAACACAAAAATAAAGTGTTAGGCTTTTAAAGAAATACATTACTTAATAGTTTTTCAACAGATTTCATAACGGATTTCTAGACACTGTCATATATGACATGAAAAGTAAAGTCAAGAGCTTTGGCAAGCCAAGTATTAGTCCACAGCAGCTTGTGAAGTTTTCTTTCTTATATAAAAATTCAATTTACATTTGTTGTTACAGGAACAGAAAGAAACTAACATGCCAAGTATATCTGAGGAGTCTGTTAGCTATAAAGCAAAAATAATTACTTTTGAAAGCTACATTTTATGAAAATGTGTACCAGGCAGCATCTTCAGAAACAGCAAATGTAAACCATGTGATTATTAAGTCTTCTAAATAAAACATCTCACCCCCAAATCTCACACAATATCCCCTAAGTCCGCATCTCCTGTTCGGAGAAGCCTCAGCTTAAACGAATGTCCATTTGCTCTTTGAGAAAGCCCTTGCCTCCATTACTAAAAACGTTCCGTAAAGTCCCTAAGAAATGTCTTCAGTGCGACAGTAACAAGATACATCCAATAGAGGCCCACAACCCACAGGAAGCCGTATGAGGCTAAAGAGTGACTCTAACTCCCTAAGACCCCTCTGTGCTGAGACCCACAGCTCCAACAAGACAACTTACAATTTCTTACTTAAAAACAAACATTTTCTCGTGAATAACTGAATAATCGGGTTTCTAGGAAATGAGGCTTTTAGATTAAAATTTAGCAAAATCAACTATAATAAATTTTCCTCCAGGCAATTTATGAATGACAAATCAGTTGAAGTTTTTTACATACAGAAGACATAAATACTGCATAATATGTAGTGAATATTGGCACATACCCTTTTGTTTTTAAAGCATAAAATGCCATCAGCATATCTGCCGCTCTTAAGATACACGTATGACGGAGCTCAAAGCCACCGCTGAGCGGCGCGGGAACTGCCCGCTCAGGGCTTCCCGAGAGGCTTGTAGCAGGCGTCAGGCTGCCAGAGGCGAATGTCCACAAGGACCTGATTGAGCTTCTGCATCCAGAGGTCCCGCTCCTCCTTGGTGTCTGCGGACAGCCAGTGCCTGTGGGAGCAAACCAGCAGCTGCTCAGAGCTCCTCCGCCCCTTCCACATCGCCCCTTACGTGGGGGAAAGCCTCAACGAACCGGTAAAATGAGTTCCTCTGCACCCTCTGTAAATGGATGCTAATTGAGAGCCCCATAGGGAGATGCTTTAAGTACAATTTTTAAAATGAGAAACATTTAATTTAGATAAAAGGCCCTGTGTAGAAATAGTTAAGTGAGACAAAGGAGAATGCAGAACGATAAAATGTTTATATTTTAACAAAATCTATGATCCAAACGGTTTTGAGAAGCCACCAAGAAGTGAGGGCCCTCCAGTCTCAAATGTGTGAGTAACGAAGGGTCCACTCAAATCACAATCCTATATAATAAAAGGCTAATATGCAAATCGACTGAACAGCAGAATGACTTGTCGCTATGATGCGCACTGACCACCAGGGGGCAGACGCTCAATGCAGGAGCTGCCCCCTGGTGGTCAGTGTGCTCCCACAGGGGGAGCGCCACTTAGCCAGAAGCCGGGCTCACGGCTGGCGAGCACAGCAGCAGTGGTGGGAGCCTCTCCTGCCTCCGCAGCAGCAGTGCTAAGGACCCCTCGGGGGATGTCCGACTGCCAGCTTAGGCCCATTCCCTGTGGGGAGCGGCATAAGCCAGCAGGCGGACATCGCCTGAGGGGTCCCAGACTGCAAGAGGCGCAGACCAGGCTGTGGGATCCCTCCCCTCACCCAGTGCACAAATGTCGTACACTGGGCCTCTAGTGATATTATAATGAGAAAAACAAAGAAAGTACAGTTGTGGGAGTCACATGGGATCTGGCTATTTTTACTGCAGGAGAAGGTCAAGGAGAAGGTCAAGAAGAAGTCTGGGAGGGCTTGTTAGTAGGTAAAGGTAAGACTATATGAAAAAGGGTTAACATAGGCTGCTGTGGTCAGGAACCACTTGGGTACTGAATTTTGGCTGGTTCCCCCACTGACTGTGGCCCTGGACAAACGACCGTAAACCAACTGTGCCCCCTGTCCTGTCCTGTCTTATGCTGCAGAGAAGCCCCCAAAGGAAAGGAGGGGAGGAGTTCCACTGAGTTAATCTGAAGTAATCTAGACACCAAGAATCTCCAGGGAACGGGTCCCCTACCTGAGCTATTTTTAAGTCCCACATCAGAAACCCCTGGAGCAGCTCCATCCACCCCCGTCTGCAATGCCCAGCTACAGCCTCATTAATAGACTGTGTCAAACTCGAACTTTTGTCCCTAATCACAACGGTATATGATGAAGTTGGCTTTAGGCTTCTCTTGGGCATCCAAGCAAAAGAATCTTAGACTCTTAACAATAAGCTTTTGCACCTTATACCTAAGGTTCGGTCTAACAGAAAGTGACACTCCCAATAGTTCATTCTGTTCACTTCCAACCAGAACTTGTGTGTAAAGGCTCTTCAAATAATATTTGGCTTCCCCATTATACATGAACTCTTCAAACTTAACCCAAAGTATATCAGCTAACTGCCCTGAAAATGGCTACACTGTGAGAACACCGAAAGCATGATTAGCTAAGATATAACCTGAACTAGATTCGTGCACCAGTGGGGTCTCTCGGCCTGGCCTGCACCCTCTCGCAATCCAGGACCCCTCGGGGGATGTCAGAGAGCCAGTTTAGGCCCGATACCTACAGGCCAGGCTGAGGGACCCCACCGGTCCACAACTGGGGTCAGGGAGGGACCATGGGAGGGCTCCAGGGCATGTCCAGCCTATCTAGCCAAGTCCCGATGGGCCGGACCTCAGCAGCAAACTAACCTACCGGTCAGAGCGTCTCCCCCCTGGTGGTCAGTGTGTGTTATAGCAACTGGTCGAATGGTAAGACACTTAGCATATTAGGCTTTTATTGTATAGGATGGTAAGCTTTTCTTCACTAGACTAATTTAGTTGTTAGATTGTTCACTTACTATGTGTGTTTTGTGTTCTTATTAAGCCTATACCCCCTAAAGACAGGGATGACCCTGATATTCCTTACACTGTAAGAGCATATGGGCAGTTAGTTACTGTGTTGGCAGAACTATCTGCAGCCCAATACTTACTTGGTGACACAGAGTGTGTCCCTGCACTGGCTGACAAGCGTCTCTCGGTCATCTTCTCTTTGTGGTCGGACAGTAATTAATTCAAAAGTGTTGCGTCTTGCACAAAATTCTCTGTTGGCTGGTTCTATCTGACGACTGGTACAATTGGCCAGATTTATCCTTCCTATGGGATTCTTTAAAAATAAAAATTTTTAAAAAGTATTAGCAGAAGGCAAACAAGACCATTTAAGTCAGCATTACGCAGTATTTAAGTTTTTATAAATTGAAAAAGCCACATGGCTACAATAATACTAAAGTAAATTTAATATTTTTTGACTAAAAATGTCAATTAAAAATATTATAAAACATTTAGGAAGAAAGATAAATATATGCCTTACAATATTTTAAGAGTGGTCAAATCACAGGGAATGGATAAAATATAAAAATTCTGCGCGCGCGCGCGCGCGCACACACACACACACACACACACACACACACACATTTTGCAAAAAGCACGTTTTCGATGGCCTAGTAAACAGGCTCCCAGGGGAGCGGGTGGTGGAGGCCCGAGGGAGCACTTAGTGAAACAGCACGTCAAGGGGCCTTCCCACCGACCTGCACCCTCAGCCTTACCTTCCGTTTCTCGTCATCGGGGTACGTCCAGTAGGAGATACAGTTTCCAGACAGAATACACCATCTTCGATGCCAGGCACCAAACCCACTCACATCTTCAAATATGGTCTGGAAAAGTCAGGGAGATCCTGGCTTAATCACTTGGGGACCAGTTAAATGTTAATCCCACTGGCTCAATGTCACAGTATGCTGGAATCTGTCCTGCTTCACACTCTCCCTGTGTGACTTCCATCCTGTCTCATCCTCAGTGATGAGAATCACTGCTGCTCACACCCAGACATGTGCCCAGATTTTCAGCAGCATCAACAGGCACCAGCACTTAGAACCTCTGCGTATTAACCCCAAGTACGTACCTCTACCTAATATCAGACTTTCTAAAAGCATGGTATCCCTGACCAAACGCTCCTTAAATAAGAGAAAAGTATTTCAAGTGTTGGAGAGTAAAGTGATTTGAGAATGTCATGCCTTATATATTGAAAAAAACAATTAGACTTAATGCAAAAGACTGGCATTTAATTTCTATTTGATACAACAAAACAGGACTGGAAAAGAGGCAAACAGCCAACTAGTAACACGGGGGCTTTTCCATGGAAGAGCTTCTACTCACACAGAGTAAGTAGGAGCTGCTTCCCCCACCCCCACTGTTTCTTAGTCATAATGGAGCCCTAATGTATGCAAGTCCTTCCTATTAATTTAAGAAAAGAATCCATTTAGACACTATTATATTAAGAAACAGAGCAAGGCGAAAATGCCCCAGCGCCCTAGTCAGGGGTGGGCAGGCTTTCTCTGTGAAGGGCAGAGAGCAGAGATTTGGATTGTGTGGCTCTTTCATGACCATTCATCTGGCCGCTGCTGCAGTGCAAAGCGCCCACAGACAACATGGAGACCAATGAGCCTGAGTTCTAATGGAACTTTATGAAAACAAACAAGGGGCATACTCTGCTGGCCCTAATGTAGGTAATCCAAAGGTATCTTTGTGATTTCAAAATGCACTAAGAATTTTCCACCTTAAGGTGGTTCAACGAAGCACTACACCAAACAACAGTGGGAGAGAGAGCCTCCTCCATCCACAAATTTGTGTAATTTTACCAAAAGGTGGCTTGAGTTAGCAGTGCAATCTCTGGCCCTGGAGGGAAATTACTCTGTGTGAAGAAATGTCTCCATGATAGAATAAAACCTCACATTTATTAGCTTAATTAATTAGCTCACACTCATTAGCTGACTCCAACCATATGCTCTCTTACCCCACCTTTATTTCTTTTCCCCAGTTTACGCTCTCTCCTCCCCAAGGCCTGGTTTCTCTAGGCAACACCTGCACACAGCCACCCAAGGGAATAAGACAAGAATCTTATTTCAGCCTCATGGACAGAGCTAGCACGACTGACTCACTAGCGCCCTCCTGTGTTTCTGCTCACCTTTCACATCATAAAGGTAACAGACAGGGGGACATTAGACGGAGAAGAGTAACAGTTGTCACTATGCCCTACTCTAATCAGAGAGGAATGACAAGGGGACAGCTTTTCCTTTTTATAGCTGAGAGAACTAAGGGCCAAGGAAAGCCAATGACACCATCACAGCGCAGAGCACAGACCAGGGACCTTCTAGACATCCAGAGTGTTCGTCCCTTGCTGCTCATCAGTCTAGACCCGTGGTCGGCAAACTGTGGCTCACGAGCCACATGCGGCTCTTTGGCCCCTTGAGTGTGGTTCTTCCTAAGCCTTAGGAGTACCCTAATTAAGTTAATAAGAATGTACCTACCTATATAGTTTAAGTTTAAAAAATTTGGCTCTCAAAAGAAATTTCAATCGTTGTACTGTTGATATTTGGCTCTGTTGACTAATGAGTTTGCTGACCACTGGAGACGGAGCTGGAGGAGCACCACAGAACCACTTATCAAGGCTCTTTGGATGGTCATTACCTTCCTTCTAGCTGTCAGGAAGGGAAACTGAACACCTCAAATTTCAATTAACTTATTTTTTTAAAATATATTTTTATTGATTTCAGAGAGTAAGGGAGAGGGAAAGAGATAGAAACATCAATGATGAGAGAGAATCATTGATCGTCTGCCTCCTGCACGCCCCCCACTGGGGATCAAGCCCACAACCCCGGCATGTGCCCTGACCTGGCATGTACTGTGACCTCCTGATTCATAGGTCCACGTTCAACCACTGAGCCACACCTGCTGGGCCCCCTCTACTCGATAGAGGGCAGAGGTCATTAAAATGCATTGATTAGACAGGGACAGAAGTTATCTGGGAGAGTCCAGAGCCCTTTCTGTGAGGATAAGCCTGAGGAGAGAGAACAAACTAGCTTAGAGCTCAGGCATTATATGTAAATGAACTAGCTGCCAGAGTCCATCCGTCACCGTCAGTAGGAGACTGGATAACGGTGTCTCTAATACAATATGGAAATATTTACATTAAAAGGTCAGTAAGTAAACACTGCCTTCAACCCAGGGATTTATAGACAGGCTTTTCCAAGACTACCTAGTGCCACCTGCTGGATGTGCACGAGAGAAAAGCTAGCAGGGAAGCCAGGTTTACCGTCCACTTGGCCACGTGGACTTGCCGGGCAACCCAGCTCCTCTTACTGCACCTTTCACAGCCACTGCGAATGCTTTGTTTCATTCAGGTTCTTGCTTCACAGAGGAAACTGAAGCTACTGGACTTTCCCTACTTCTTGCATCACACCCACCTTCATCCACATATTCTTCACACATACGTTTCTCCTCTGATAACTGAAAAAATATAATTCTGTACAAAATCAGTCCTGTGACCGTGTAGTGTGGTTTGGGTCTGATTTCATCTCACTCTCATGATCTTATTTATCCCAGGAATTCTTCCTGAACTGCCTCAATCTCCAACCCTATTAAAAGCTACCCATTGTATCTGAAGACTCAAGTTGAGCCTAATAAGATGTCAACGAAATCCTTCTTTTATCCTAAAGATCCTGTCAAGTACCACACGCTTCTCACCCACCTGCAGCCAAACTCTGTTTCAAGGAGCTGCTCGCACTCCCATTCCTCATGTCCACTCCCTGACCGCCCGTTTATTAACGTGCACGCACTCTGTGCTTTTGACCTTGATAGCACTGTATCGTATTTACTGTCCACTTGTCCTTCTCCCAGCTAAACTAAAAGTTCCTGAGCAGAGGAACTTCTGTGGCCTAGGACATTCCCACACCAGCACAGTCACTGGCATGTAATGGACATGCAGGGAATCTTTACTCAACCAATTTACCACTGAATCACACAGGCTTTCCTGCCTACGAAAAATCAAGTCTAACCTTCACAAAACAGAAAAAAAGAAAATACATATAAATTACTTACTAGAAAACCTTTTTCTTCAACACTTGAATTCACTTGACATTTTATTTTTAAATAAATATGACCTTCCAAAGGAGATAAAAAGGGCACCTGCGAAGAAAGACAGTAAATTATTTGCAAAACACTTTCAAACTGGCATTTTTCTTGATAAGAGTTTAATCATGAACGGAGAATATTGTGCCTTGAAAACACACTATTTTCTAAAGCGGGAATATAAACTAAGTGGCCAAAAAGCCACTGGTTCCTCAGCATCAAGTGCTTTTGAAGAATAAGCACATTCAAATTAGAGCTGGTAAAAACAAAACCCTTAACATGATCAAGAAAACACAGATATAAGAAGAGAATACAAGTGCTTATCCATTCTCCATCAATATATTCAATAGGAGACTGGATAAACCAACTGGTACAGTAATACAACAAAATATTACTCAGAAGTAAGTAACAGTGAACTGCAGATTTAAAAAGTTGATCCTCAAATTCATATGAAATTGCAAGAGGTCCCAAACAAGCAAAACAATCTTAAAAAAGAAAAACAAAGCTGGAAGAACCATACTTCCCAATTGCAAAACTTAATCCAAAGCTACCATAACTACAACAGTGTGGTATTGGCATAAGAATAGACGTATAGACAAGAACAGAACTGAAAGTTCAGAAATAAACCCATACATCTTATAGCCAATTGATTTTCAATAGGGTACCAAAACCATTCAATAAAGAAAGAGCAATCTTTTCACAAATGGGGTTGTGAAACTGGATATCCACATGCAAAAGAATGAAGCTGGATCCCTACCTCATATCATATATCAAAAATTAACTCAAAATGAATCAATGACCTACGTATGAGAGCTACAAATAAAATCTTAAGTCTTAGAAAAAAACATAAAGGTAAATATTAAATAATCATGAATTTGGAAACATTCTCAGATATGAGAGCAAATGCAGGAGCAACAACAGAAAAAAAACAAACAAACAGAGAAATTAGGCTTCATCAAAATTCAAAACTTTTCAGTATGTAGATTCCTCAAAAAATTAAAGATAGAAATAACATATAATCGAACAATCCCACTTCCGGAAATTTACCCAAAAGAATTGAAATCGGGTCCTGAAAGGGATATTTGCACTCCCAGGTTCATTGTAGCATCTTCATAATACCCTAGAGGTGAAACAACCTACATGTCCATCAATAGATGAACAGATACTGGAAATGTGATGCAGTCTTCTCCTTCCTCCCCATTTCTGAATATAAAAACTACTCTGAAGTTTGTCTTTTAGGCTTTAAAACTCCCCTGTGCATCTTTTCTTATGTGTCCTAACCCACAGCCCACATAGCAGATTCATGAGGTTGACTATTGTGTCTTTTTATTGGCTGTTCCCATATCCTACTGTCAAATCATACCCAGGCATTCAATAAATGTTTGCTAAAAGAACACTGTTTGGGCAAATAAATACCCAGAGTTCTTTACTGAAAAAAAGAAAAAATAAATATGGTATATAGATACAATGGAAATACTATTTAGCCATAAAAAAGGAAATTCTGTCAGATGCTATAATATGAATGAGCCTTGAGTACATTATGCTAAGTGAAATAAGCCAGTCACAGAAGGACAGATACTTCTGGCTCCACATATATACCTGGAAGTATATACCACGTATATGTACCTGAAGTAGCCAAGCTCATAGACGCAGAAAGTAGACTAGGTGTTGCAGGGGCAATTTAAAAAACAAAACAAGCCATAAGCCAGATTTAACCTGTAGGCTAAAAGTTTGCCTGGTGTTGTGGTAGACTAAGCCCTACTATATTGGTATTGCATTAAATATAAATGGGCTAAACACCCCAATGAAAAGACAAAAGATTGTCACACCAAATAACAAAATATGACCATAAAATACGTTTATACACAAATCTGACATATATAGTCACAGATGTATTGAGAATAAAGGAAGGAAAAAGATATAACATACAAACACTAATCATGAGAAAGCTGTTGTAGCTATTAATAGCAGATAAAATAGACTTTAATATTATCAGAGATAAAGTGAATAATTCATCAAGATGATATAATAATCTTAAATGTTCACAGACCTAATAATGTAGCTTTAAAATACAGGAAACATAAATTGACAAAACAAGAATTAAATGCCTAAATTGAGACTATATTGTTCTTACTGATTGGAATTTGGGGGGATTGATTTTTTTCCAAATAAAATCATGCTGTTTATCTAGCATGGAAAACATTCAGACAATAGAGTATACAGATGTCATATATAAAGTTGTATACCTGAAATCTATGTTATTAACCAATGTTACCCCAATAAATTTACTAAAAAATTTTAAAAGTAAACATTCACATAAATATTTGTAAATGTATCATTCTTATCAACATAAAGACTTTTCATGTCAAAAGTACCTTAAATTATAAAAGCTGCTTAAGTATATGTAAGAATTTTAAAAGATTTAGAATTTAAAGATTATAACAAACATGAGAAATTCAATTGGAGAGGTTGAGTCATTAGAGTAAAATGGTTAACATACATATATTTATTGACATTGACTTCTGGTCAAGAAAGAATGATGTTAATGTCTGTCATTCCTGCTGTCCAGTGAAAAAGAATGATCTCCTAGTTGGAATAATCTTAGTTCAGTCTAAATAATTTTTTAAATAAGAGAGTGGAAGGGAAGGGGAGAGACAGAGAGAGAAACATCAATGCTGCAACTGAGGTACGTGCCCTTGATTAGAATCGAACCTGGGACCCTTCAGTCTGTGGGCTAACACTCTAACCACTGAGCCAAACCAACTAGGGCACAGTCTAAATTTTAAAGTTTTAATTGTAAGGTTAGTTTCCAACAATTTAATCTTCTCTTGGCCAAAAAGTATAGATTTCAATAGATTAATTCCATTAGACAAACCTCAAAGTTTCTGGATTTAAAAGGGAACCATAATGTAGAATCAAAACACCACATATCTCATTATTTTGTTTGTTATAAATTCCCTTGCCTTTTTCTGTTCCATATAGTCAGTTTTAAGTTCCGTAGCCTCTCAATGCTAAAAAAGAGAATTCCATTGTTTTGCAGAATGCTGCTGGTAAAAAGAATCTCAGAAAGATAAAAAGAAAATGGTCCCTCTAACTCCACAACTGTGAAGTACACAATGTTCTTGATTAGAAGCTTGCTCTGAAAAAGTGAACTGAAAATATTCACAAAAGAGTCGATGTTACTACCCCCTTGAGTTTGGAGAGAGATGAAAATGTATGAGCCTATTCTGTTTTCTGTTGAACAAAAGGGTATTTTAAGAATACTGTTAAGAACTGTAAAATGAACCTATAACCAGGACAACTGTGTAATCTTAACACACTGGGATATTTCTGAGAGAGAAAGGGATACCATTAATCATTACACCAGGCCAAAGGCTTACCAGAACACCTCTGTGCACACCAGAACCCTAACCACTCTTCCTGTGACCTCAAAATTCTACAATGCTAATTGGTTGCCCTAAAGCCATTTAAATTGACATCCCTGTGTCCTGGAAAGCAGAAATATCTATGAGGTTTCTTTAAGTCAGAGCTTGAGCTGTGGGATGTCCATCTCTCTTTATCCAAAACATGTAATAAAACCTGAGTATTTTTTTAAAACAGCAAAAAACCTATGACTATTTTGGATTGGTTATTCAAAGAAAAGAAAGTCCTTGAGAGTCTGTGACTCATTGAGATTCATAATTTGAATTCCAGGATGCCAGACTTTACATCAGGTATCTGTAACCTCAAATAAGAAGGTAATCTCCTGTTAGTGGTGCCCTAAATCTCTAGAGCAAACAGTCTGGATTAACCTCAAAGGTCATTCTATTCTGAAGGGATCTCAGAGATAGCTGTTGTATTACTGGTCAAGGCACCAGTAAAATAGGCCAACACTCCCTTGTACCGATAGTATCTGGTAAGATATGGGACACTTGTTTACTCTCTCAAAGTTAATTAAATAGAATAATTATATGAGTATAAAAGGTCTTCCATTTTCTCCACCAATTTAAAGAACACCTAAACATAACTATTTTAAATATTCTTTTATATCAACTACAAACAATTGGAACAACTATTTGCTTTCTCCTGGCACTCACAAAAGTACATTTGGGACAAACTTGACATCAAAATTGTGTTGTATATGAAAGAGACTTTAGAGTATTAGAGACAACCATTTAAATAAAATGATTTTGCACTCAATCACATGGTTGCCTATTTAAGTTATAAATTCAAAAGAATTAAGAGAATAGAAATATTTTGTGACATTTTGAATTAAAATGGCAGATAAAAAAATTTCAAAAAGCAAACATTCTATATTTAACGTGTTACTGAATCCCTCCATTTTAGAGATTAATGAAATCGCTTGCACATGTAGAAATTGGCTTTGTGACAGACAAAAGAGAGTAAGGAATACAGTTCACAGAATCCCAGTTCTTATGTTTAATCTGCAAATCTTGTTCTAACAATAAATAAAATAAACTAATACTGTCCAGCATTTTATAAATTAGCATTTCTAAATACTCAAAAAATGCTTGCAATTGAACTTCAAAAAGATATTAAAAATCCTTTTAAAAATCTAAAATATGATTATTCTTAGTATAATTTTAATGTTAAATTCATTTTAATTTAAAAATTATAAACAAAATATCATCTACATAGCAATATGCCTATAGCCAATTGTGACCAAATAAGTTTTCTACTGAAAGCATCACCAATAGCTCTTTCAATATATGGGAGGTAAACAATCTTGAATAAATTTAATTTGTTATTTTAGTACCCAGAAAATCAACGTTGAAGTGACTACAGAATCTGAACGAATTAAAACATGAAAAAAGAAATAGGAGGAAAGCCAACACCAAATATGCATGAAAAAAAGAACAAAGATGCCCCACTGCAAGAGACTAAAGAAAGAATGTATATAATGTCCTTATTCAAAATAACCAAGAAGGCAGAAGAGTGGTTAGTGAAACAAATACATAAAGGCCAAAACTTAAGGATTGATTTAGCTTGTTAGTTTCAAGCAAAGAAAAAATTGCAACCTTTTCCTGGAACAAATAGCCCAGTAGCTCTCGCTCTTTTACATCATAATTTATCTAAAACAAACAAAATAAAAGACAAAGAGAAAAAAAAATCTAGGGTCACTCAATTTGTTAAACTAGCTGAATTGCTAAGTAAAAAGGTACAGGAATCTTTTAAATTAACATGTTAAAAAATACACTTATGCATTAACAATAATCAAAATTTCAAATATAGTCTGTCAACTACAAGAAAGATTTCATGGAATTCTAAAGCTATGAGAAATGAAGGATCTTTGCTCAATGTTAAAGAGGAAATTCCTAGCAAGGCCAACACTAACTAGGCCTCCTAATGTGTAATACTTCATCTCTATATTCTAACTACAAAAATCTCTTATAATATTTAAAAATTCCCCTGTATTATGAAGCAGGGATCAACCCAAAATTAAAGTTTGCTTCTAGTTCTCATTCCTTAAAATGGTGTTGTTAGTTATTAAAAGTTTAATCATATCACAGTATGGTGAAAAGCACTCAGTGATATTACACAGATCTGAATGCTGATGCTTTAAACCTGGGGAGGAAAGTGTGGGAAGGAAACACTTTCGATTCATGGATACTTGTCTAAGAAATTAACCTATCTTTCCCTATCTTGTCAAAACTAAAACTACTATTCATTTCAAAATATGGGTTCCAATGGGCAAGTGACTATGTTTAAAACTATAAGCTTAACATCTAAGAGCAAAAAGTAATACTTCCGGTTAATAAAAATAGTCACGGGGCCCTAGCTGGTTAGGCTCAGTGGATAGAGTGTTGGCCTGCGGACTGAAGGGTCCCAGGTTCCATTCCAGTCAAGGGCACATGCCTGGGTTGTGGGCTCGATCCCCAGTAGGGGGCGTGCAGGAGGCAGCCGATCAATGATTCTTTCTCATCATTGATGTTTCTCTCTCTCTCTCTCCCTCCCTCTCCCTTCCTCTCTGAAATAAAGATATATTTTAAAAATAATAAAATAAAAATAGTCACAGGGATGTAAAGTACAGCACAGGGAATATTGTAATATTGTAATAACCATGCATGGCTTCAGATGGGTACTGGACTTATCAGGGATCACTTCATTAGGTATATAAATGTCTAATCGCTATGTTGTACACCTGAAACTAACATAATATTGCACATCAACTATAATTGAAAAATAAATTTTAAAAAAAGTAATACTTCTTTAATCAGAACTGACATTTAGAATAAATCAGCATGAAATACTTTCAGGATTTAACTGTTAAGATACAAGGGAGAAATATTTCCAACATCAAAAAATATATCATTTAGGTATAAGAATGCCTCATTAAAATGTACAATTCTAAGAACATACATTTTCAGTCAAAGATTTTAATAGTTGAAAGTACTGGGGCATTTCCACTGACCTAATTTTTCTAAAAACAAACAAATAAATTCGGGTTACCTTGTCCAGAGCAAACTTAGTGTTTCCTACTGAAGACAAGGACAGCGTGTAAGATCCAACAAGGATAAAGTTGCTGGTGCGCACAGCATGGAGACCGCCCGGGCTGGCCATCACTGGAGAGAAAGGGGCTGGGGCTTAGTTCGGAGTGACTTCCCTGTGTAAATCACTCCTCACCTCACCCCGACAGAATGCCATTAACCTGCCACAGAGAAAACTGCATTTTCCTCCATTCCAAATAGGAAGGGAAAATATCAAACTTGCTAGTGACAGCAAACTGTTACGTATTTTATATTTAACTATAGTAGAGTTGAGGCACATCTGAATATTTGGGACCAATAGGTTTTTAAAGATACAGAACCTCAAAATGTGCACATAAAATGCATGGGAATGAGAGAGAAGACTCCAGTGCCATAGCCTAGGTGGCATACTTAGCAGCACAGACAATGCTGCACGGTGCTTCTTAGTTACTCTGTACCAAGAAGAGACCAAAAGCCCAAAGGTGGTGAGTGAAACCAGCTCAACCCTAGCCCCTGCCTAAAGCCGTTCTACAAGGTCCTTCCTGGCTTACGGGTACCCACTGTGCTAGAAAGATGCTTTTCTGACATGATTCAATGCCAGTCATGGTCAGCAAAGCTAACAGAGGTCAACTCCAGTGTTGGCAGCCATAGCAAATCTGCAAGGCAGCATGAGCCAGGGACAGGCATTGCTGCCGCTGCAAGGGTCACGTGACCAGCCTCCCGGACACTGCTGCCAGGGCCTGAGAGATGTGTGGCATCTGACAATGGCGACCGGACAGTAATCTCCCGTGGCACTAAACCACGTAGAAAATGCCTTTCCAAGGAGACTATGTAAACACCCATAAACCGAGAGGGCTGCACGTGCGATTATGCAATTGCGTGGTTCTCTTCCTTATTCTAGTGTTTCAAACAGTTCAAGATCCACTCACCTGAAGAATGAAGACTGCTTTTCTAAAAAAGGGTGTGAAGAAGAAACAAGTTATTTTCTTTATTAGATAAAAGATTTGAATATTAAATACAAAACTCTTTAACACTGCAAGAACATTTCAGAACACATTTTTTTTTCTAAATAATTATGAGATTTTTCCCCCCAGTAATATATTTTAAAGACTTCCAAAGTGCTAAGGGTTTAGAAATATTTACAATCATATGTGTAACATGAAGATTTCACAAGGAGGCTCAATTTTTTAAAAATTCCACTTACTGTAGTTATAGATGTGAGAAGTCGCTTTGGAGTGATAGCCTAAAAGAAAACATATCAGAATATTTTCTATTAAACATTATGATTTAGAGTTTAAAAATAAACAATCTTAAGACACTCCCACATAGAAAATAATTCTTAAATACGAATATACTTGAGTCTTTTATTAAGGTATTACCCATACTATCACTCTTTCTCTGTTAAAGCTAAATAAAATTCTTTTAAATGATGGCTTGAAAAAGAACAGAAGAGCAAAGAGCTGGAAGAATGAGAAGCCAGCTGAAGTCCTGTCCCCACACCTCTCCTAAGCCCTGGTGCAGTGGACGTAGAGATCAGACTCCAGGGAAGGCTGGGGAAGACAAAGGGGTAATACAAGTAAGCTGTCAAATAACAGAGAGAACAGAATCATCAAGCCGAGTGCATGAGGAGCTATACTTAGGATTATAAGTTTATGTCAGTGTTCATACCTATGAAATGCAGTACCTGAAATCTGGGGCATAAAAATTGTCCAAAAACTTGATAATCATTAAAAATTATACATATGGAAACTGGTACAGTATCTATGGTTTCTGATTATTATAATTTGCTGGGTTTCTTTCATCCTCACCTTGGATTTGTATGCCTTTTTCTTCTTATCTGGCACTGAGGGATCTTTCTTTTGCACCTAATACACAAATCCAAAGCATAACTAGTTTAAATCTGTTATCTTTAAGACAACATACTAGTAGTTATTTTAGAGAGTTTTAACTGCTTACCAAGCTGTAAACTTCAATACTGATTTCAAAGTCATTGGACACATCTTCCCTGAAAACACAAAGCATTAAAACTATAACAAAAATACCAAGTTATGGCCCAGGATGATGCCACCATACTGTTAAAAGACTCAGAGCAAAAGAATGCACTGTGTTTCAACTAAAGACAATAGCTATCGACCACTTAAGAATATAAAATTGGTAAGAGCATTCAATTTTTTCAAATATTTTCTTCAGTAATTTACAACTCAAGATCTTCAATAATGGTAATTTTTTTCAAACTTAATTTTGACTTGTTTCAAAATAAGTCTGTGACACTAAATATGTTCTTTCACTGAGATTGAATATTAAGTATGTAATGAGATTTAAAACATACATAAAAAATTATGATCAATATTTTATATGCATATGCATATCTACACACATACACATTTTAAAATACTTCAAAACGTTAAATACCTACAGTCACGTGGAAGCAACATGCTACTCAATGGAAAGAAATGTCAGAAACAGAAGAGTTAAACCAACAAATTGGAAACTGAGTTATGTGTCCACATAAAAAGACTGAAGATTCTGCACTTCACAGGCGATAAGCCCACCTGTGTGCTTAGGCTGTATTAACTACTGAAGGGACAGGTGAGCCGCAACCGCCTGGTGTACTCACAGAGTGTACGTGGTGGAGAACGTCAGGGCATCGCCATTCAGAGAAGTGGTAGTGCTTGCCAGCGGGGTGGCCACCATGTTCTCGGCTCCTGCCTTCAGTATGATCAGGAAGGAGTAAGTTGCTGCGTCTGCAGGAAGGAATCACATTACAGAATCAGATCAAGCAGAATCGGATTTAGGTAACGAGCATTCTGGAAGACCAGAGGAATAAAGGAATACTGCACTGACTTACATAAAATTCATTGAAAATTTTCTAAAATCAACTTTCCAGACACAAAGGTAAGTAAGACATAAGCAGATGATCATAATGCTAAAGTAAGCCTCATCACAGGCTCTCCCACTATGGGAATTACAATAAGTTCACACCCCTCAAATTCTGCTGGCTTCGAGTTTTACCCAGTGACCCCTAGTTCTTGAGCTAATAGTATACAACTCAACGGTATGTACCCGAGTATGCATCTGAGCATGTACTACTATATTTCAAAACTGAGATCAAAATACTATACTTGTGAAAGTTCCTCAGAGATAAATTCTAATGAAAACATGAACTATTTCTTCACTATCTATCATTAAATAACCACAGATTTCAAGGTACACATTAAATGACCAACAGATTTCTACCCACAGCCCACCAAAACAGGACAACAGCAAGAATTAGAACTGAGGTCACCTCTTTCCTACCAAAATGCTCAAACCTTGAAAGGTCCCCACTCTTTACTTTCCCTGCACTTCAAATTCGCTTCTCACCTAGTCTAGGTCTCCTTTCTCTCAAAGAGAATGTCTCACACAAAAATTTAAAGAAAAGTTTACTTATTCAATCTAGAGGGACAGAGGGAATAAAAGTTCAATACAAGTATGTCCATTGCGGGGCTCTTCACTCTCCCAAATGCTATAAATTCAGAATTTATAGAACAAATTTCTTTAACGGGATGAATTTCACATAGAATGAAGTAAGTAAAATGAGTCATTTTAGATGCCCTAAATACTTTCCACAATAAAATTAATGAAACTGATTGCTATGTCAGGATAACTCATCTCAGGAAAATGATGTATGTTCAAAATTATGTTTAACTAACCTTACTTTCAGTTAGAACTTTGTCTGTTACTGTGTGGAATAGTGAGCTCCCATATGAACTGTCCTTGGTTATTTTTACACACATCTTCACAAAAGGATCTAAAGACTCAAGACACAAGCTTTGTAGCTTTGTGTATGCTCTCCAATTGTTCCCATTTGCACAATTCCAAGCTAGGTGAGGTTCATAATCACACATAAGATGTAAAAACCTCCATACCTGGTTTCTGAGCTGTGCTGCAGACAAAATCTGCCTTAAGAGGCAGACGGATTTCTGACAAAGTGACTGACCCCTTGGACGGGACAAATTCACTTTGGGAGAGGAGACCAGCCTTGTTCTTCCTCTGAGGTCCTTCACTCTTCAGTTTATTCAGCTCATCAATCAAAAGCGTTCTCTTCTCAGCTATGTAAAACGATGCAAGTTAATATTTCAAATATTAAAAGTTCCTAAATGAGACCAATTATGTGGCAACAGTACAGAAGCCCAAAGACAAAATCAGTAACTTTCTTTATAGAAACAGGTGGTAGGTAGTTGGGAAAAACCTTAATTGGTCATCTGTTTACCAAGTTCCAATAATTTAATGCTTCAACTATTGGTCAGTTTTCTTATGTGATATAATCTTTCCACCATTCATCACTACACATACATACACACAAACAACAAAATTCACACCCTTTTTTAGCTACAGAAGGTATGTACAGAGAGAGTGTGGGGATGTAAATACTAGTATATCCATATATTCATTCTCAGCCTACTCTGCACAACTGCATGCCTTCAAATGCTTTCCCGTTTCTTTTATCCTTTCATGCAAACTACATCTCATTTTGTGTGGTGGGTGTTCACAGACATTATCCAGAACAAAAAAATAGATGAACTGAACCAGGTTATCAGAAAAGGCCCTTTCTCTACAATTAGGTGTCAGACCATTCGAGGTGAATTGAGTGTTTCCTGGCTAAACCTGCTGGGAGTGCACGGGTCTCACGCACTTGCGATCAGAAGCAGCCTTTCAGCCTCGGCTTCCTCCAGGGATCCCTTCCCGTGCTCCTCGTCCACACAGCAGTTCAGGGCCTGGCTGGCCTGGTAGATCACCGTTTGCTGCAGGTTGATTTCATTGTTGAGTTCCTGGTGAGACCCATGAGAGGAGAGAAAACCCACATTCAGTCACCACGTTCACTTACTGAAACTTGGATTATAACCAATCTGATTCAATAATTTCCAAAATTTCCAGAAAGTTCAAATGTTAGTTTCACCATTCAAGTTTCTAGACTATGCACCAGGAACATTTAACATACTATAATAATTACACTATCAACATTCTTCCTGACAAAGACTTTCAACTCATACTTACTAAAATTATAATTGGGGTGATGTCCAACAAAGTCACACCCTTTTTTAGCTACAGATAGATAAGTTGGTACAGAGAGAGTGTGTGGGGATGTAAATATATTCATATATTCATTCTCAGCATACTCTGCACAACTGCATGCCTTCAAATGCATCCCAGTTTAGAGATATAGAGATTACCTGATTCATTTTATTTAAATTTCATGTATGTGTAACTTTTAAATGTTTTCCTAGAGTAAAAGAACCTTTAAGAGCAAGGTAAATTGCACATTTCACCATCATCTAATTTATAGTTATACTTTAAGGATATTTAGGACAAACATGTTTAAAAATAAATATTTCAATAATATCAAACAAGCTTCCAACTTTTCTAATAAAGAGAACCTTTCTCCAATTAAACTGAACTCAAGAGCAGCTGCTGAGGTCAGGGTGTCAGGCGTCAGACACTGTCCCAGGCCCTCAGGGCCCAGAGACGGAAAGGCTGGGCCTCGTGCTCAAGCTCAGTCTCGTGAAACAAACACCACACACCCCTTCCATCGAGTACACACCTGCATTTTCTGCTTGACGTTCACCTGACAAGGAAAGACGCTCTTTTCTTCAGCATTCCTTTTTCCCTCCAATTTTGAAGTAGCATCTTCCTTCCGAGCAATCTGCTTAATTGAAGGACGGTCTGTTTCTTTGATTCTCTGAGATCTGTACGCATCGATGCTTCAGGAAACAGTTATACTGTTAGAAACCCAGCAACACACTAGCACTATCTTTTATTCAGCATTTCAGCAGAACTGGATACTGATGCTGCAACATGTCAGCAGAACACTTCACCAGGATGGGAAATGCCACTGGGAGAAAGAGAAGCTGACAGAAGTTATTACGAAGTTTTTTGCAAGTTAACTATTAGTAACATAATTACAAGGACTCCAACTTGTTGTATCAATTGAAACCATGAGCCTTAGTGAGTGAATGCCTCCCCCAAATGTTCTCACCTGTAAGGAAGGTCACGGTCCTCAGAACCAAGGCTGTCACCAGACTCGGCCCGCGGGACACGGGTTCTCTGGAACTTTCCTGGTTTGGGACTCTCGTCATGTATGCTACTGCCCTTCAATTCCAATCTAGGTGAGGAAGCGAAACTCTGCAGGGAAGCAGTGGGTATTAATAGGTTTTATGGATGTCACTGATTCTAAATAATTCTGAAGAACTGAATGAATTCTTCTCTATATGAGGAAAATAAATATCACACAAGTCAACTGATTCATCGTAAAAACAAAACTAAACCAAGTTCCTAAAAAAATAAATACAAGTTGAAAGATAGCTAAAACCTACACTCATAACCCTCTTTAGAAACAGTTGTAATTGACTCAATTTCCAAACAAAGTTGCAGTTATTCAATAGAGGGGATGGCTAATAATACAGCTCGCTCTCAAAGAGCATTAAAGTCAGGTTTGCAGACTGTCCCTGGCCCCAGAGTTCTAAATCCCCATGTACCCACCTAAACAAAAGGGGACCCCAATGCTCTTTAGTTTCTTTATGTCCCGAGCCTGTCTCCTCTTTTCTTACCTCTGGACTTATCACGCCGACTGTCTGTGCCAGCGGAGCAAGCAGCGACATCGAGGAGATATTGAGGGCATCCTCCTGGTCCTCCCCGCTCTCGGCTCCCGCCTGGCCCCTCTGCTCCGGGCTCCTGGCCACACCCAGCTCGCCCTCCTGCAGGACAGCACTGAAGATGTCGTTAATCACTCTCGAACTATTGATGTCATCCTCGTCATCCACGCTCATCTCAATGTCACGTTCCACTTCTGAAAAACATTGCAATAAGTGAACGCTGTGATCCAGGCCTTTAAAAATCAGAGGGAGAGCAGAAAAGATCTAACATTCACATGCTTACTAATAAACAGGGGAAAGCCCTGAAGAAAAGCACTTCCTAAACAAAAAATAACAATACAATTTACTAACATATGAAACCAAAATTATTTTCAAATTTCCAGTAATATTTTCTTACCAATAAAAGTGAAATTATCAAAAGCTGACCCAATGCTTTGGGTGTGAGAAAGATTATTAAGTAAGAACTCAAGGTTAGAGCCAAGAGCTTCGGATGTATAAAACATGTTCTTTCAAAGGACTCTTCTCTGGTGGGAGCTGCCTGTGGAGGCGGCAGTCACTAACAGGAAACATGAGCGTCACCTAAGCCAGGATTCACAGGTGCCTCAGGGCCACTAGCTCCCTGACAGTCCATGGAAGTGCCAGGCAGTACACTCCCCGCCCTGTACCAGGCGAGGGTAGGCTCAACCATGTTTTCACAGCGGTTCGTACCCTAAAGATAGCTGTTTCAGTGCTCTATCTCTGTGGAGGCTAGAGTACTTCTTCGTAGTTAAAAAAGAGAGAGAGGGTATTATAAAGTCACAAGCCACTTAGAAATATAGAACACTGGCCCGGCTGGCGTGGCTCAGTGGTTGAGGATGGACCTATGAACCAGGAGGTCAAGGTTCGATTCCTGGTCAGGCCACATGCCTGGATTGTGAGCTTGATCCCCAGTAGGGGGCGTGCAGGAGGCAGCTGATCAATGAGTCTCTCTCATCATTGATGTTTCTATCTCTCTCTCCCTCTCCCTTCTTCTCTGAAATCAATTTTAAAAAAAACTTTAAGAAATATAGAACAGCGTATAGTGGAATATGTGCTTCTACTATTATATTATTTCTCATAACATGTTCAGTGCTAGTAAGAAATAAAGAATAAAAACCAACCTGTCTGCTGCTCAACCTTTGGGTCTGATGTTACTTTTAAAGACTTTTCCTCTTCTAAAAACAGTGTTATTTTCAAAGGGCTAGACTTCGTCATTTCACATTCAGTGAAACCTAAAAAAGTTTTAGGGAAAACCATATTAATATTATAAGAACCCAGAACTTTTTGTTTATAGAATCTTCTCTATCTTTTTTTTTCTGATTACAAAACTGGATTTCAAATTTAGAAATGTACAGAGAATACCCCAAACACCTGCCCTCTCCTACCTCCCCATTTCTCTCTCCAAGAGGAAGGGACACCGATAGAACAGGTTATGTTTGCTCCTCCAGTTTCCCCCTACGGTGATCTATGTGAGTAGCCTTTTGTTTAATCAGCACGTGGACACACTCTCATGCTGTTCTGCAATTTGTTTTCAATTTTTTAAAAAAGTGCCGATAAGAACACTTAAAAAGGGTGCAGGGTGGAGAAGGTCAGTAGGGGAAATAAGGACACATCGGTAATACTTTCAGCAATAAAGATACATTTAAAAAAATAAAAACAACTTAGAAAAACCAGCAACGGAAGGAAACGAGCCCTCTCTATGGAAGCCGCTAACTGTCCTCTGTGAAGGACTGAAAGCTCTTCCTCCGAGATCAGGAACAAGACAAAGAAGCCACTCTCACCACTGCCGGTCAACAAAGCCTCGGAAGCCCCAGTCCAGCGGGGACACGGGGTTACACGGGTTAGCACCGTGTACTTAAAGCTCCTGCTGCCTGCCACTCAGGTCACTGCGTACCATTACCGCGGCTGCAATCACCTCTGCACTCGGTCCCAAGGCTCCAACCTGCCCGCACTTGCAGAGAAGCCGAGGTAAAGAGCATGCACCCCTCCCAGCTCCAGACACTCCAAGTGGCAGCGCTCACACTCCCGGCGAGAGGCTGCCTTCTCACTCTGGATGCAGAGCTGAGAGAAGCAGAGCGTGGCCAGAAGGAAAAAGTGGTGGAAATGAAGGGGTGAATCAGCCTTTCCACACTAGAGCAGCGTTTCTGACTGCCAGCCCGTGTCCAGAGCTCCCGTAGTGAAGCAGGGAGGAGCGCTGACCTGCGGGCTCTGGGCTGGGGGGCTGTGCTGGAGTCTGCTCTCCTGCCGCCTTTTCCTTTTCTGTTACTGGACCGGACTGGGTATTTGAAACAACTTGATGTTTTCTGAGGGGAGTGTTCTGAGAGTGAATTTCCTGCAAAAAGCAAGTGAAAAGATACATTTTACTTCTCAAAATAATAGACTTTTGTCTTTTTATGTGTTACTAAGTGAAACAAACCACAGTCATTACTCTACATAAGCTTCCTCAGAACAAAACAGACAACGTGTGTGAAAGGCCCGGCCACGTTCAGAACACGAGCCCTGGGCGCTAGTTCCCGTTCTGGAGATTCTCAGGATGTGAGTCACTGAGAGTAGGAGGCAAGGGAGAATGGAAATCTGCATCAGGTTCAGCTTCAGAGAAACCACTCAAGTGAAAGTCATGTGTGTGGAAAACAACTCCCCGTGTCACTCATCACAGCCCACATCTGTAAAACTAGGGACGCCCTGGCCGGTTGCTCAGTGGTTATAGAGCGTCGACCCGCAGACTGAAGGTTCTCGGTTTGATTCCAGTCAAGGGCACATACCTGGGTTGCAGGCTCGAGCCCCAGCCCTGACCAGGGGCACATGCAGGAGACAACCAATTGGTGAATCTCTTTCTCTGTCTCTCCCCCGTCCCTTCTACTCTCTCTAAAAATCATTGGGGGAAAAATAACCTTAGGTGAGGATTAACAAAAAATAACAATTAGGGACAGTTCCTACCCCCAGATTCCACTTACCAGTTACTCTGTGGGTAAAATGCAAAGAAAACAGCAAAGGACAAAAACAGATCATAAGAAAAGGAAAAAAGAGGTCTACCCAATGTGGCTCAGTTGTTGAGTGTCAACCCATGAACCAAAAGGTCACTGGATCGATTCCCAGTCAGGGCACATGCTCAGAGTGGTTGGTTCAATCCCAAGTGTGTGTGTTGGGGGGGGAGGGGGAGGTGCAGGAGGCAGCCTATACATGTTTCTCTCTTATCGATATTTCTATCCCTCTATCCCTCTCCCTTCCTCTCTCTCTAAAATCAATAAAAACATATTTTTTTAAAAAAGAAAAGGAAAAAGAAAAAAATTCCTTTATCTGAGTCATTTTTTAAAATATTTATAAGGCTATGCAAAAGAAACATTCATTGCTTGTTTGCTTTTGAAAAGGTTGTGATTAAAGCAAGAGAAGAAATAAGAACAGCAGCGAATACTTCCATAGAGTTTTTCATGTGTCAGTCATCTTTCTATTCTATACACTTCACATCATTGCCTCATCATATCCTCCCAATAACTCTCTAGGATCGGTACTAATGTCTCCATTTTACAGATGAGAAAACTGAGACACAGGAGAGTTAAGTAACTTGCACACTCAGCTAGTAGCCAGTTTGATGTACAAACACACAGCACATTATCAAATACTGTGCTGCAGACTGTCTTAAGAGTAAGCAAGAAGTTTGAGAAGGGGCAGGCAGGGCAGGTGCATTTCAGAAGTGAGAACAATGGGCTGAGCGCACCTGGAGAGTAAAAAGCTTCGGGGTTTGTATACAATGGGCTCTCAGACATTAGCTGAGTAACTGAAAGAATGAGTGGTGGTAATGAAAAGCAATGGCATTCATCCTCAAAGGTGTAAATCATAGCTTTGAAAACAGCACCAGACAAACTCACTAAGCCGCATCCTTCCATTGTGGATGGGGCCCAAGAATAAAGGTGGGGGTAAAGGAGGAGGCCAAGGTCAGAGGTCTGGTTAGAAGCCCTGGTTCCCCCACACACCAGCTGTGCCATTTGCACAGATGATTTACCTCCCTGGGGCGTAGTCCTCACCCAGAAAAGGGGGGAGTGTTACCTTCCAGGGTTAGTGTGGGGATTAAATGATACCATGCACTTTAGTGGCGCCCACCAATAAAGAGGCCTGGCATGGAGAGCCAGAGCTGTCCTTCCTCCTTTCATCACCACTCGCCTATTTGTCTACAGTACCTGTTTGGTTTCTAGTTGTTTGCTTCTTGAGTTTTCGCCTTTTTCTGCACTCCATAAATTGCCCTTGTCAAATCGGCCACGAAGACATGCTAGTTCTTTTTCACGTTCCTAAAATCATCAAAAGCTCTATTTTACACAAAAGTCAATAGTAGGTTTAAGAATAATATCCAAACACTACTAACTTTGCTTGTCTTCGGTTTTAAGAGGAAAAAAGTCACAATATAAAGGAATACAGAACAATTGTATTTCTAATTTGAAATACACAATACAGAGAACCAAGATGCTATTTATTCAGTCAAAAGGAATGGTATGGGAATACACAACTTGATGTCTGTACGTTCTATGCTGAGACCGTGGCATGGGTAATGTGAAGGCAGTAGGATGTACGCACCTGCTTGAGCCGCTGGGCTACGTGGGTAGTAGATGAAGATGTGTTTTGCTTTAACAGTCTTTCCTGGATGGCCTTGGTGTTCGGAGTGACCACGGGGGTCCTGTGGGGTGTGCTCCGCGTGGGGCTGTCTTTGCTGCGTTCTAGACAGCGCTCTCCGAAGCGCTCCAGAAACGGCTTGACTCCTGCTCCTACAGAAAACACATTATTGGAGGCTATTCAGAATAAGTAACCATTATCATTTCTACGGGGAAGTTCTAAATGCCTGTACAGTTCCAAAGTGCTTTGACTCTACCAGGATTATTCATTCAGACAGTAAACAATATATGCCCAAGTGGTGTTGCTCAGTGGTTGAGCATCAACCCATGAACCAGCAGGTCATGGGTTCGATTCCCAGTCAGGGCACATGTGGGGGTTGTGGGCTTGATCCCTAGTAGGGAGTGTGATGTTTCTATCTCTCCCTTCCTCTCTGAAATCAATAAAAAAATATATTTTAAAAAAAGCACAGAGGAAAGTATCTAGCACAGTCATTCTAAGGAAAAAGCATGTTTAAACTGCTTTGACCAGTAACTGGATTGATCTACATAAACAGTCACTCTACCAATTAAAGCTGAATTTAAAGACATTTCATCTGAGCACTCAGCACTTGCCCTGGCAAACCAACCCTGTACCATTCAAACTGGGTATTTAAAATGCTGAGAAGAGAAACCCTGATAACTTTAGATTTTTTAAAAAAATACATAACCTGGTGTTGTAGATTTGTCTTTAGAGTGAGATTGCAGACAAGTTTCTCTATTTACTTCTTCTTTGGGCCGAACTGTCTGGGATTCAGCTGATTTCCCGATTGGTTTCGATACCTCAGTTTTCAAAGGACTAGCAGGAGTTTTTTGAAGTCGCTCAGGTTTTCGTACCTCACAATTCTTAGCATTGGTGACAGATATAGAAGCTTTCACAGGGGAAGAAGCAGCTTTCTGAAACATGAAAACACTTAGGATAAATACAGCACTCACCATAACTAAAGATAGTCCCATAACAACAACGCAAATAGATCAAGCCAATGTGAAAGGTTTGAAAAAGTCCCATAACAACAACGCAAATAGATCAAGCCAATGTGAAAGGTTTGAAAAAAAAAATCAACTTGGAAAATACTGTAATTCAAATTATGCTGTATAGTTCAGGCTGTATACTAGATCGATGGGTAATTTAGTATGAAGGACAGAGTCACTATTTTAAAAAACAATTTCTTAATAGTATCACACTATTACATTTATGAATTTTAACTGTTAAACCAAATTACATATTTTTGTATTTTAATTAAGTCAGTATTATTTTAACATAATCGTATCATAGCCCTGGCCAGTGTGGCTCAGCTGGTTGGCTGGTTGAGCACCGTCCTGTGCACTGAAAGGTCGCCGGTTCAATTCCCAGTCAGGACACATGCCCAGCTTGTGGGTTCAGTCCCTGGTCGGGGTGCTACAGGAGGCAACCAATTCATGTTTCTCTCTCCCTTTACAATAAATAAAAACATATATGTATTTTTATTGTATCATGTACTTGATGACTAATGATAATAAAGGAAGTACTCACTACGTGCCAAGCACTATGCTAAGTGCTCTGTGCACATCACCTCGCTTCACCCTTCCCAGAACCCTTTTCTAGGTTCTGCAAGACGAAGCCTTGTCCAAGGCCACACTTCTAATGAGGTGGCAGGGCTGGGACTGCATGCAGGCTAATTCCAGATCCCAGCGCTACACTCAATGACGATGCCCAGTACACAACATTCTTTTTCTTTTTTGTTTTCTTAAAAGACATTTTTTTTAAATGTTAAGGTAGCACATGCACAAGGGAACCTTTCAAAAAGACATACATGAAAGCACCGTACCCACCGCTGACAACTGCTACCTGGTCACTATGGCTCCTAGTTGTCAGAAATGCGCACCCTGACGGAGAAAGTCATTTTCAGGCTCTCGCTGACGAAGAGGCTCCGTCATATTATGGTGCACACTTTGGAGTTGTACTAGTTCTTAACTGCTCACTTATCTTGGGATGGGGGTACCAAATTTATGACTTTTACTTTCTGTGAAACCAATATTCTAAAAGTAACATAAAACACTGCAGCTGTTATAAAAAGACAGACCTACACGTAAATGTACATCATCTCTCCTAACAAAGAAGAAAGGCTTCTGTGTTGAAAGTTGTGTGTACTCACCGCAGCGCTGGAAACAGCACCCGTAGGCAAGGAGGCAGCAGCGGCTCTCGAGGCCGGGGCTTTGCTCAGAGAGGCATGGCCACCCCTCGGGGAGCAGCATGCGGCTTCCTGCGCAACACTGCGGCCATTGATGCCAGCAGATGCTCCGCTGGCAGAGGAAGCTTTGGACAAACAAGTGGTGCCAGGCTGTCCTGGGGCACTGTTCTGCTTTGCCGATGAGAGACTGACATCATCTTCCCAGGAGCAAATAATAGCAGCAAGGTTGGCCAGACGGCCCCTCCTCCCCACGGGAGTTGCCAAGGCTTCTGCTGGTTTGGGAGGGGAGGCCGCCTTGTCCTCCGCTGGCATCGCTGGGATGAGTGAGCTTTCAGGGGTATCATCTGAAAATGTTTTCAGAAAAAGAATTCATGACCATGCTCAAGAGATGCATGTACGGTACTACGTGCAAATACCAGCACCACTCCACTCAGGATTTTTAATGAGGTTAACAGGCTTAGAACTAGTCCAAAGCTCTAGTCCAGGGGTCCTCAAACAGGGGGCCAGTTCACTGTCCCTCAGACTGTTGGAGGGCCGGACTATAGTTTAAAAAAAAAACAAACCATGAACAAATTCCTATGCATACTGCACATATCTTATTTTGAAGTAAAAAAACAAAACGGGAACAAATACAATATTTGTATTTGCATGTGGCCCTCGGGCCGTAGTTTGAGGACCCCTGCAGTCCAATGCATGAGAGTACCGAGCTGTTTAAATGTGACAATATCTTTTCAAATCAGATGATACTTAATCCAAATTAAAAAAAGAAAAACAAAACTTTCTTATCCAACTGCCTCCCTCCTTTTGGCTAAACCCCAGACACTGCAGATAACACACCTGAAGTTGAAATTGCAAAAACATGTCCCTCCTCAGTGTGGTGCCTCCTGCACGCCCCACACCTGATAAATATACTACTGATAAGTGAACTATGTGCAAGTGACCGTACTGGGATATAGATGAAGCAAAAGCAGTTACCGTCATGTATTAACTGATAAATACGATTTTCAACATACAAGGTGAATCTTACTGACAGATTTAAGGGACATCCCATCCATGTCATTCATACCTGTCACTTCATCATTATCCCAGTGGCGCCGCTGGGCTGCCAGCTTCTGCATCCGTGTTTTAACAGAGGAGGCTGCAGAGGCCTCGGGCCTGGCGTTCGGCGCTCTCTGCAGGCCCAGCAGCGATGCCTGGGTGGCGGGCGGGGAATCACTGGCTGGAGCCGGTGCCCGTGGCTGTGCCTGAGGGGACACAGGACTTGGAGAACAAGGTTTGGCAGAAGCTGACTCAACCGGTTGTGCATTTTCCAAGTTGGAAACTTCCTCTTCAGTGTTGTCAGAACAGCGTTTTTTTGATGGCGATGGTTTTGTACAAGATTTCTCTAGATTAAAAAGGGGAAAATTTCAAACTTCCATACTTCCTCACAGCACAAACAACTGCCATAGGTACTTCACAACTTAATAAAACACATGTTTCTCTCGTCCAGCGGTTCTCAACCTGTGGGTCGCAACCCCTTTGGGGGTCGAACGACCCTTTCACAGGGGTCGCCTAAGACATCGGAAAACACATATATAATTACATATTGTTTTTGTGATTAATCACTATGCTTTAATTATGTTCAATTTATAACAATGAAATTGGGGGTCACCACAACATGAGGAACTGAATTAAAGGGTTGCGGCATTAGGAAGGTTGAGAACCACTGCACTAATCCTTTCAATGATTTTACTTACAAGAAAAATGTAAAATTCTGCTTTCAATAACTTAGAAATCTGATGAGAGATTTTGTTTGTTTGTTTTTTATTTTTTTATTGCTTAAAGTATTACAAAGAGCTGATGAGAGATTTAAAATAATAATTTATGATTTAAAAAACCTGAATGAAAATAAATTCAAGTAACATTCTCAATATATATGCACAATACTTTACACAGTTTACAACAGCAGGAAATTAAAAGTGCACACACAGAATGAGCAAATATTCCGGAGCCTGTTAAAGGTCACAGCCTGATCACCTCACTTTTAGATAAGAAAAATCAAGCTGGAGGAATTTAGCTCCCTGCCTAAAGGGACACAGCTGAGCTAAGGGTAGGAACCAGACTTTCTGTTTTTAAAACAATCTTTCACAGACAATAATAAGTCAAGGATACCAGGGCACCTGGCTTGAGGTTTAGGAAAGAGACAGGGAATAAAAAATGTGACTGAATTATCTAGTCAATACCAAACAAATTCATCAGCACAAGTGCTTAACCACACTTCACATTTTAAACTTCCACAAACACCTAGAAAAAAAATTCCAAGTCCTAAAATAAAAGGGAGCAATCCAAACATAAGGCATATGATTTCAACCCAGGAATGAGTCTTAATGTATCTCCTGGAAAGTTAATATTTTTAAAAAGTCAGAATGTAAATTTCCTAAGAGGTCAGTTTCACCGGTTGTCTAACCAAGTATCCTTGTTCTGGCAGTGACCAAAGTTGTAATAGTAAGAGGCTATGACCACCCTTATCAACATCCATCTAAGTAAAACACAGCATGAAACTTTCTATTCTTCTGTAACTCATTTCCATTGACCTATCTGATCATTTTTAACATGTTTCTATTTTAACATGCAATACCACCTGGAAAAACAGAATCCTTTATGTTTACAGTTCTTGTGAACAACAGTAAATGCCTACATTTTAGCATCAAAATGTAGTCCCAACCTCTGGTTTTCAAGCACACAGCACTCACTATGTGATTGTACAAACCCGTGTCACAGCGAAAGCAGAAGATCCTGGACTGGGCCAGGCCTCTATTTTCCTGGCCGAATACCATCTATATGTAACGTATTCCCCTCCCTTCCCTCAACATAAATATGTGAAAACAAATTATCATTCTATGGTTAGTTTCCAAAATAACTGTAAGTCAGCCCCAAGCCCTTATCTCTGTAACCTCTTTTTCTACCTGTGCTTTAAAGTTATACTAAGGATTATCTCCAGACTATTCCACACTCAGAATAAGTTTGCATTGAGGAAAATAGTCCTTCGGTTGATCTCTTACTCCCCTCCACATGATCTCACTCTTTCGTGGATAATTAAGACCATTACAAACTTTCGAACAATAATAAATACAGTGGCAGAGCTGCCTCAAACTGATTGTCGAACTGCAGTGGGAAGGCCAGGGAGGGTTGGGGGACAGGAGGGAGGGGAGTAACAAATGATCATTCTATGGTTAGTTTCCAAAATAACTGTAAGCCAGCCCCAAGCCCTTATCTCTGTAACCTCTTTTTCTACCTGTGCTTTAAAGTTATACTAAGGATTATCTCCAGACTATTCCACACTCAGAATAAGTTTGCATTGAGGAAAATAAAGTTCAACCGATTCATTTGAACTATTTGTTAAGGGAAACTCTGCTATGGCCCTAACATAGAACATAATCCTGGCACAGACGGAGAAGGCTGGTCGTTCCCCAGGGGCCGCTACGTTTGCCTCCCCCAGATGCTGATTCTTGCACATGCACGAGGAAACGTTTGGGGCTCCTCTCCTTCCATCACCTCACAGTCTTACCTTGCCCCCCGGACAGGGGTTGCTGGTTACTGGCTTCTGCGAGCGGCTCTCTGGCGCGCTTGGCGGGAGGCACAGACCTCGGTGCTGCCGTGGGCCTCTCGGCCATCTTCCTCTGGAGATTTTCTCGCCTGGCACGGGTTCGTTCGAGTAGTTTCTACATAGATAATATTTAAAATACGGTTTAGTCAAAGGCTCACTAAACTTCAGGTAACTTCTAAAATCACCAACTGCCATGCAGAAAAAGAGTTAAATACATTTCAAAAGTGAAATCCTAAGGCATTCAAGATCCACTAAATGAGCACCCCAATGTCAAAATTACACCTGATGTAACATGAACATTAAAGGGGGAATAAAGCCCGGCTGGTGTGGCTCGGTGGACTGAGCGGTAAGCAAACAGGAGAACCCATGCACTAAGAGGTCACCGGTTCCATTACCAGTCAGGGCACATGCCTGTGTTGTGGGCTCCATCCCCAGTAGGGGATGGACAGGAGGCAGCCGATTGAGGATGCTCCTCTCTCATCCCTCTCCCTTCCTCTCTCAAAAAATCAGTAGAAACATAGTTTTTAAAAAAGAAATAGTGTGGTCATTGTTTTAAGCACTAAGGTAGGTGGGCAGAATAATGGTCTCCAAAGATGCTCATATCCTCATGTCCTGAAACTATGAATATGTTGCGTGGCCAAAGGAAGCTTGCTGGTGTGACTAAGTTGAGAATCTTGCGATGGAAAGACCATCATGGGTTATCTGGACCTATGTAATCACAATGGCCCTTATAAGGGAAAAGAGGGGCAGGAAACTCAGAGGCAGAGAAGAGGTGGCAGGGGAAGCAGAGGTCAGAGTGACGTGACTGGTGGCTGTGAAGGTGGATGAAGGGGGACAGGACCCTAGAAGGGCAGGTGGCGCCAGAAGCGGGAGAAGGTAAGGAAATAAATTCTCCCCTAATCTCCAAAGGAACCCAATCCTGTCTGCACCCTGATTTTAACCCAGTAAAACCCATCAGACTTCTGACCTACGACGAGAAGGTGTGATTCTGAGCCACCAAGTCTGTGGTCATTTGGTACAGCAGCAACACAATACAACCAGAGATCTGGGGTGGTAAATAGCAAGAGATAACTGAAAACATCAGACACTTCCTAAGAGGAAAAAAATACACTAAACAATCTTAATGTTTTACTTAATTAAATGTCAATATAAAAGTTTTATGTTGAAATCTGAGCCATTTCATAAAGTTATCAATACTTTTATGAACTCTGACGCTCCTGTTTGAATTGTGGTAAAACAAACACGAGACCTGTAAAACAACTCATTCTCTGCCACATGCACACACTGAGGGAGGGGGCAGATTACTGGCTGGAGTTATATACTGCCCTGCAAGCACAGGTGTAGTACTTGGCAGACTAAAAAATTAAACTCCATCTGACCTTTTCATTCCTTAATTAAAATAACTTTTTTTTTTAATCCTCTGAAGCATGAGCTAAATTGGGAAGAAAGTTCAACTCTCTCCTCTCCTTAGGATGATTTCTAACTTAAAGTTCATTGAGCCCGGGCCAGTATGGCTCCGTTGGTTGAGCGTTATCTTGTGCACAGAGAGGTCAAGGGTTCAATTCCCTGTCAGGGCACATGCCCGGGTTATGGGTTGGATCACCAGTAGGGGATGTACTGGAGGCAGTAGATTGATGTTTCTATTTCTCTGTCTCTTCCCCCATCTCTAAAATCAATAAAAAAAATTTTTTTGAAGTTCGTTGAAAAAAGTGACACAGAGTCTAAATGCTCTGGCACTGACAGGGTGATTTATGAACCAAGTGCCTTCCAAAACACAAAACCTTCCCCCTTTAAATAAAAGTCTTGCATAAACTCAAAGGTGATAGACAAATTTATGTCTGATCATTTCTCCAGCAATAAAATCACTCCTCAGACAAAACTAGCCTAATTATATTCACTCATGGACATGCCCACATTCCATTCCAGTCTGTAGAATACTTGTGTCAGTGTATCTTCAGTTACTATGAGCAATGGGTCACAACAAAAGAATGCGGTTGTGTCATTCTAACTGACACAAACTGTCCTATTGTCTACTCTGGATCCAAATTAAAAATAAAGTAGATAAGTAAAAAGAGGAAAAAAAAATGTTCCCTACTCTGTAAAATAAAAACTAATAAATACCAAAGGTTATTAATTTAAAAGAAATGATATACATATAAAAACAACAGCTCAGTAAATGTAAGTCACCCTTCCTTATAATGGTGTATCAGGAAGTTAAAGATTCTTTTGTTTATAACGTACATTCCTTCAAAGAGTAGAGGAATAAAAAAATAAAACATTGCAATAATTAACAGAATCAGGACATAAGATACTCCACATGGATGAATCTAAGATAACTGAAGCATATAGTCCCTAAGCAATTTCTGCCACACACACTTTGAATCATTTGTGACAAAAATTTTCCTAGGAAGGATTACTGACTCCCTGCCTTCTTAAAAATTAACTTATTTTTTAAATATATTTTTATTGATTTCAGAGAGGAAGGGAGAGGGAGAGAGAGATAGAAACATCAATGAGAGAGAATCATTGATTCGCTACCTCCTGCACGCCCCCTACTGGGGATCAAGCCTGCAACCCAGGCATGTGCCCTTGACCGGAATCGAACCTGGGACCCTTCAGTTTGTAGGCCAACACTCTATCTACTGAGCCAACCAGCTAGGGCAGAAATTAACTTATTATTCTCAGTGTACTCCAGTAGCATTCCCTCCTGGGTCAATAGAGATTGTCACAATTCTGGAAAATAAGAAAGACTCCATTCAAAACAGTACAGCATGTTTGTTTATTTTTATCACAAGGAAAGATGTTTTATAAAGTACGTTCATTGTAGCCTTTTCTCTTTTAGGGTTCCTCCATAGAAAGTTCTCACCCTTGGCACACCTAGCCCTGCTTTCCCTATGCTCGTCTTGGACTGGGATGACCATCGCCCATGGGCGGATCTTTAAATTAAGAGGCTAACACCAATGTTATGAGTAAGTGTAAATTCACCTAACAGTACAATCACTAACACTATGTAGGATTTAATATAAAGTACTTTCAGTGTTTGCACACATTAACTCATTTCATTTTCAAAGCCTAGAAACAAAAACAAAAACCACCTTATGTGGGACGCTCTCTTTTTACTGCTGTTTAGCGATGAAGAAATCCAGGCACGGGTTGCATAACAAGCCATAGGTCACAGAGCTAAGGAAAGCAAGGCAGAATTCAAACGAGGGCTCCTGAGTCGGGGATCTTACTTTGCTATAAACTTGTCTTTTGACAAAATCCAATTGCTCTTTTTAAGAACTTTCGTCAGAGAACTAACTCCATATCATCAACATAACTTTTTTAATGCTATCAGCTCATATCAGATCATAATAATAAACATCTGCTGAAACTGCTTGTTCGCCCGTGAACCGAGATGGAGTCATTACTTCCCGTTGGTCCATGTAAAACTTTAAAGGCCCTGTCTACATCCTGATTCATGTAAACTGCAAAAGCATTAGACGCTTAGGGAAATCTGAACATTTGTGGAATACCTGATATTAAGGAACTGTTACTATTTAGGTGTGATGGCATATTGATGTTTTGCTTTTAAAGTCCTTAGCATTTAGTGGTAAACACTGAAATACTTAAGCATGAAATTATATGACCTCCAGAATCTGCTTTCAAATAATTCAGTGAAACACCGGCCTGTGCAGCTGGGTGATGGGTGCATGAGAGGTTATCATGCCTGTTCATTTGAAATGTTCTACACGTTAAAAACACTGCTAAAATGTCCTAACAGCTACTGTGGTGTGTAATTACTTGATTGTAAAGTAATAGCACCGAATGGCTCTCTCCTATATTAATTCAGCACTGTTACTGGGTGTGCTTGAGGTGAGGGAAACCTCTCTCTGAATAGGAAAAACAGGCCTACCTTCGAGAAGCTTACATCCAGCAAGTAACATGCTCAAGAGGTAAATGCAAGTGAGCTGAGCACCGTGAAAGGTGTCCTCTCCTCTGAAGCAGGGAGATCAGTGTGGCAAGAAGTTAAACCAGAGTTTGCCAGCAGAAGAGCAGGGAGAAGAGTGTACCAGAGAGCACCAGCGGCAGCAGGGAGAACCCAGGAAAACGGAGGTTAGGGGGCTGCAGCCTTTCTCAACCAGTTACCTGGAGAAGTAAGCCCTGCTCCCTGACATCAATGTGACCAATAAAATATCTGCTATGCTTGGAGGAGGGCACGGGAAAACTGAGAAAACGGTCTCTCCATCTCCTGTACTCTATGGTTCTGATGAGAAATGCTCGTTGAGAAAGTCATTTCAACTGACTTTCAGTCCTTTCAGACAAGGAACTGTGCCAGTTCATTTCATTGTGCAAAAATGTTATGAATGCTGTAAATAAGCACCTACTGGTGGAAACCAATTCAAACAGTTCACTCACTACCAATTAAGGTAAAGATGTCAAAGCCATTTATTCCAACTGCAACGGACCTAACTTTTCATAATACAAACCATACATATTAAACAATACATATTTCTGAGCACATGCTAAAATGAAAGGTTTCTTTCAAATAAAGTTTCTTTCAATTGAGATTTGTACTGCTTCAGAATGGCATTTTTAACATTTTCAGCCAACATTCAAAATGCTTTGTTCCTGGTTAGCTACTTGGGAGAATAAAAAAAAAACAAAACTATTCAGAACACAGAGGACTAATGTTTTAAGGAATCCTAAGTTAGTAACATTAAAAAAATATCCATGAGAACTTCCATTAAGTGAAAAATATGGTGCATGACCAGGCCTATTCTTTAAAGCTGATACAAAGATGTGTTCTAAAAAAAAAAACTGTTCAGGATTTTTGTGAGAATTTTTAAAAGTAAGGTAAATAGCCCCTCTCTCTTCCATTCTCGCTAAAAAAAAAATCAATGGTAAAAAATATCGAGTGAGGATTTAAATAAAATAAAAATAAAAAGGTAAGCAAACTGGTGTTTTCTCCCAAGATGATTGAGAACTTGAAACAAAAATACTGTTGCCCCAGCTGGTGTGGCTCCGTGGATAGAGTGTCAGCCTGCAGACCAAAGGGTCCTGGGTTCGATTCCTGTCAAGGGCACCTACCTCGGATTCAGGCTCCACCCTGCCCGGGCCCTGGTTGGGTGTGCAGGAGGCAACCAACCAATCAATGTGTTTCTCTCACATCGATATTTCTGTCTTTCCCTCTCTCTTCCACTCTCCTTAAAAATCAATGGAAAAACATCCTTCGGTGAGGATTTAAAATAATAATAACATGCCCTAGCAGGTTTTGCTCAGTGGATAGAGCCTCGGCCTGTGGACTGAAGGGTCCCGGGTTCGATTCCAGTCAAGGGCACATGCCAGGGTTGTGGGCTCGATCCCCAGTGGGGAGCGTGCAGGAGGCAGCCGATCAATGATTTTCTCTCATCATTTATGTTTCTCTCTCCCTCTCCCTTCTCTTCTGAAATCAATAAAAATATGTTTTTAAAAAATAACAAATACCGTTGTGTCTGAAAACAAGTAAAGTCTGTTGAAACTTTTAAATACCTTACACTTTATGGAATTGTAACTACATTTCCAAAAAAAAAGTATTACTCTCCAAAGCATTTAAGTTTTTTAATCTGATGTAGAGACATGTTTAGGTTCCCTCTGCAGAAACTCAAAAAACAACAGTTTGAAGCTTGTGCAACCGCCTTAAAAAGAGGAAGAAAAAGAGAGTGGACACAGCTGGCAACACAAAACCCCTGAACCGTCCATGCCGCTCGGGTCGGAGCCGGAGGATTAATCACACGGTAAGAATGTAATTAACCCGCATTCAGTTCCCCGGGACCGAAAGGGGAGTGAAAGCCTGCGGCGATGTCACCCATACACACACATAAAAAGGTTTATTTCTTTACTCTGGACCGTGGGCTCATAAACTTGATTTGTACACGTCCAGCTACCCCTTTCCCTTCCAATGTGCGGCCAAGCGGGATGAACCTTCAGCCCGGCCGGCCCGGCGGCGGGATCTGCAGAACCGTCTGACCTCCCGGGAGCGGAGGCGACGGTCTCAGGCGCCAGCTTATTCCGACGCTCGGCTGTTACCTCGGGAACCGCACCCCCAAAGGCATCCGTAGCTCCCTGCGGGCCGCACGGATCCCGCAGATCCCATTCCATCTCCCGGCGGCGGTTGCACAGGCAACGGTGAGTCACCCGGCGCGCCGCGGGCGCTCCCAGCGGGACCGGCTCCGTCGGACCCCACCCTCCCTCTCGGGGGACAGGGTCCCACTCCACGGGGGCATCCCCTTAACAACCGGGCCGACCGGACGTCTTTCACTACCTTTTGGGACAGACTCTACACTCCCCTCCCCAGGTTTCCTCGGCGGGAGAGCGCGGACGGGCCGCCGAGGTGGGCGCCCCGCGGCCCCTTCCCGGCGGCCCCCGCGGGACCCGCACGCAGGCTCTACGCACGCGCGCGCACGCGCCCTCCGCCCGGGGGTCCCGGAGGTTGACAGGAGGTGGGCAGGGCGGGTGGGGGCCGAGAAGGGTCATGCCCGGCGGCGCCCGCAGGTTCCCTCACCTCCGTAAACGGGTCCATCGCCCCGGGCTTCGCGTGTCGATTGCGAGACGACCGAGGCGGTGGTTCAAATTCCGGAAAAGGAAAGAAGTGAGTCCCGGTTCGGTGTGTCGCTGGGAGAGAACGAGGAGTCCGGGGCCGGGACACTGTTCCCAGCTTGCGCTCCTGCCCACCGCAGCCTCCAGTGTGGGACTCGGGCTCCGGCTGCCGTTCAAATTTGAATTTCAGCGCCGGGAGCCGCGCGCATGCGTGGGGGGCGGGGCGGGGCGCGCCTCTCCCCGCCCCCGCACTGGGTCACGTGGCCGCGGCGGCCGGGAGTTCCCGGGGCGGCTCCGCTCCCCCAGCTCAGACCCCGCCTGTAACCTGGCGCCTGGGCTCCGCGGCGGGTGCGGAGCTGCGGGTACAGGAACCGCCTGGGGCCGAAGCCCCGCCTGCAACGTTCGCACACCCCACCCGCTCCCTTCCCCCGGGCTGGGCTGGGGCGTTCCCCTGCCTTCATTCCTCAGGGCGGGATTGAGAGCCTGGGTTCCTGTGAAATCCCCCCCGGACCTTGCCAGGCATCCTCTCCGCCCACCCTGACATCACCCAAAGGGGGCTGCAGGCGTGACCTTCCTAAGGGGCGGGTCTAGTGCGGCCCCCGGACACTTGGGGTTCTTGACCGCTAGCCCCCCTTGGACGCTGGAGCCTTTCTCATGGGGAGAATGCGGCCGACATTCACAGGCTGTGCCAAGAGTTTATACCCATTGGCGCTCCTCAGTCCTGTCCAAGCTGCAAAGGTGGTGGAGTGGGGAGGATTCAGAGAGGGATCCGCTTTCATCCTTCCTTTTACATTGGGAGAAGGGGGACCCTGAGACATACGGTAACCGGCCCAGGAGAAATGAAAATCCGCTCCCAGCGCGTGGTCTGCTTCCCACCTCCAGATCAAGAAGCTGTGTCTCAGGATTTATTAATTTTTTTCGTGATTATTGTTTATAGATTACTCGCAATTGTAAAATACGTTACATAGCCACTGTGTCAGATTCCTTTTCTTAGCAAGTTTGTGCTGGGGCTTGTAGTAACAGCTCTTGACTTGTTCGTTTGAAAAATAACACCCTGTAGATTAGAGTGCCCAGCAGCTGAACAAACTCCCCAGGTAAGATGTTTCCGTATATTTAATAACACAGCAGTCGGTAAACAGTACAAAACGTATTCCACCAGTAATATCTCCAATTGGAAGGTTGATGCTGTGAGTTGTAATGAGAAGAAGGCAGGGTGTGAGGTCGGAGGAAATGGCTCGGGGTCTTGGCTGCACCAGGGCCCTGTTTAACCCACTGTTTCTTAAACCTTCTGGGGGAGTCGTGAACTCCTTTACAATACAATCAGAGTTAACCCTCAACCTAGAAAAGTGCCCATTCAGTCATAAACTACTTAACATAGGAACTCATGAAGTTCATGGTCACACGGGCTCAGGATTTCTGATGTCGCCTCTTTGGGTTTTAGTTGACGCATCTGTAAAACAGGAATGATGAACCGCCCTTCCTCGGAGTTGTTTGGAGGATCAAGTGAAAAATTGAGAGCGATCCAAAAGTATTCTGTGATAAGTAATAAGACACTATCCAAGTGTTTGGTGGATCGAGCTATTAAACTTTAACTCAAAATATGCTACTTAAGAACCAAAGAGAAAAGAGGTTTGAATTTTTTTCAAATGCTAGACAGGGAAAGGGTGTGTATCTTGGCGGGAGAGAGTGTATGTTTTAAACAACATTGAAAAATGAGTCATTAGACATGTACGTAGCCTTGAGCCTTCTGCCTTTCTCTGAGCCTTAGATTCTTTATAACTAGATTCTAGCTAAGACCAAAGAATAAATAAAGCACCTTACAACATAGCTACTTGAAACGTTTTAGTTCCTCTTTTTTCACAGTCCCCCCATGTCTTTGATCTTTGCCCTGATGTTGATGATGATGATGATAGCAACCACCTCAACAATCACTACCATTTGTTAAACACGGACTGTGCCAGAAACTGTGCTAGATACCCAATTCCACCCTTCAGGAGCACAGCGAGGGTCCCTAACGTACCTCCTCTCTTCCTCTCTCAGCCCTTGGTAGTTCATGCTTCAGTTCATAAGCCAGACTTACTTTTCTCCTTTTAAAAGTTGTTACAAAATATGTCCCGTTTACAAAAACATAGTGAATAAGATAATCGTGTACCTAACACCTAGCTTATGAAATATGGAATCTCATAATTGAAGTCTCCCGTGTCCTTTCTTAATACCATTCACCTTCCACTCCCCAGGCGTAAAACTGTCCTGATTTTCATGTTTATCCTTCCCATGACATGTATGTACTTTTATTATATCTACATATATAGTCATAACAATATGTTTTTTTACATAAATTTTATTATCACTATACATATCTTTCTGCAGTTTTCCCCTCAATAGTCTCTTTATGAGAGTCAACCTCATTAGTAGCTCCAGCTGCATTTCATTCATTTTTTTACTGCTGTACACTTGTAACTCCAAGATTCCATGATGCCATGAATATTTCGATGTCTCCTTATACACATAAGCAAAATTTTCTCTAAAGTAACATAGGAATTAGAGGATCATTTCAATCAATATATTTCAATATTACTGCCAGAAGCTAAAAATAAAAGCAACAACAAAAGTGGTAATAGGAATAAGTTAAAGAATTTAAAGATCTTCATGGAAGCACTCTATAAATAAACATTTTTGGAAGATATAAAGTACACCTGCCCTAGCTGGTTGTCTCAGAGCATTGGCCTATGGAATGAAGGGTCCTGGGTTCGATTCCGGCCAAGGGCACATACCTCAGTTGCAGGCTCCATCCCTGGCCCTGGTCAGGGTGCCTGTGAGAGGCAACCAATCAATGTGTCTCTCTCACGCTGAAATTTCTCTCTGTTTTTGCCTCTCTCTTCCACTCTCTAAAAATCAATGGAAAAAATATCCTCAGGTGAGGATTAACAGGAAAAAAATTAAAGTAGGCCTAAATTAGTGAAGATATGTCATGTTCATGAATGCAAAGTCTTGATATCACAAAGATATAAATTTTCTCCAAGTTATGTGATAAACTCAGTATGCTTTCAATTAAAAATATCAAGAGGATTTGTTTTCCTTTATGAAGCTTAACAATCTGATCCTAAAATGTATAAATTGTATCTTTTAAGATATATTTTTAAACTATCACTGGTATAAAGGAACATAAGTAATCATTGCAAACTTATGAACTATGAGGGATCTTTTTTCCATTGATTTTTTTAGGGATCTTTTTAAAATGTAAATTATGCAGTGTCAATTTCTTGTTTGGGGTCAGCTTATGTCTTCCATTGCAATTAGAATAATATCCACATTTTTTATTATACGTGACCTCAACCCTGTCTACCTACTCCTCCTAATATCCTCTGAATATCATAACACACTCCTTTTTTCCCCCCACTAGTTTCTAACTCCATAGGCCTTTAATCTGGTCATTAAAAAATGCTAAATTCTTTCCTGCCTCAAGAACTTTCCACTTCCTGGATACTGCTCCTCTAGATATACCCATGTCTGTCCCCTCATTAGTAGGGTCTAAGCTTGAAATCCCTACCTCCTCAAAGACTTCCCAGATCCGATGGCCACACCCCTTCTCTATGTTCCCCCATCACTTTTCATCCTATTACTCTAATTTATTTCCTTTATTGCGTTCACCACTTATATGGAATTATTTTAGTTCTGTGTTTTTGTTTCTTATTTACCTCTCCTACTAGACTGTAAGCTATGGAATGGCAGGAGCTTGTCTTGTTTATAGCTGTAACCGAGCATTTTCTGGGCTCACGATATATGTTGAAGGGATGAATGTAAGCTAACTATTATTCCTGTTTTAGAGATGTGGAAACTGAGATGCAAAGAGGCTAAATGATGGCCTAAGACCATCAGCATATAATTTGAACCAGATCTACCTGATTTCAAATCCAATTCTTTATACTCTTAACATTTCAGTGTATTTATTTTGATCACCAAAGATATAATATTGCTATGTGTTCCCTTAAGCTATAGCTAAAATGCTAAATAAATACCAACCATGTTTGTTTTTTTTCTTGGAATTGCTTGCTTTAAAAAAATTTTTTTAATTATTAAGTTAGGAGAGAAAATAAATGTGTGCTATATTTGCATGATTATTAGCTATACAGTTTGACCTAAATGATGTTAATATTCTAAAAGTCATCAAAAGTGTCTTCCCTAGTTATTTAAATAAAAACCACAACCTTCAAAGTTATTTAGGTAAAGACCACAGATTATTATGTTAATTTAAGGATAGATTCAAAGCCCCTGAAGCAGAGATAATGAGAGATTAAAGGTGGCCTTCGTAAATGAGTATTTGATCCTTCCTTTTCAGCAAAGGAAATAGTAATCATATCTTTCACAGACAAAATTGATGGAGGGATGAAAAACACAAAATTCAAAAGTATTTACTTCAGTAAAGACACTCCAAATGGTATATATTTACAGTTAATTTTCAAAATATATTTACACATTCTCACTTCACTCACAAAATAATTACAATGGCATAAATATTCTTATTTTTACAGAGCGTGCAAAGGCCAAGATCTAACCATAAGGCAGTGGCAAGAAAGATTCAAGCCAAGTCCTCTACTTCAGGTTATCTGGCCGAAGGGCCACTTCTTTTATACAGTTATTATAATGAAGAAATAAGAACCATCAAAGGATATTGTATACATGTTACTGAAAAGGGCCATTTTATTTGTTATAATCTCTGCTATTAATGGTACTTAGCATTACATTTTATTGGTCCTTAGCATCAGACTTTTTTCTCTCTAATTGAATCATTGACTTAAAGTTTCATATTCCAAAGTGTGAGAAAACAGATTGTGTTTGCTGAACATAGTACATGTATTGTTTCCAAAAAACAATGTAACTACAGGCAGATTTCCTTTATCTTCCAAACACTTCAATAGTCTCAAAATTTATACAGCTTTAATTTCTTTTTTCAAATGGTCAATAAGGGTATTAGGGAATTCACTTTTTAATGTTTTTTATTGATTTTAGAGAGAGAGTAGAAGGGAGAGGGAGAGAGAGATAGAAACATCAATAGGCTGCTTCCTACATGCTCCCCACAGGGGATCCAGCCTGCACCCGGGCATGTGCCCAGACCTGGAATCAAACCAGTGACCTCTTGGTGCAGGGGATGACGCTCAATCCACTGAGCCGGGCTAGGGAATTCATTTAATGGACCACAGTAAATCCTTTCATAAAGAGGAAGAATTATTTTATGTACTTATCACACTGTAATTCATATATTGATAACATTACTTTTCCATATCTAAATTTCTTAAAGCTATATTCACAGATCCTATTTTTAAAATTTTAGCAATCCCATATTAAAGTAGCTCTTAAATATTTTAAAATAGCAGAAGCAAATGTTTCTCTTTTTTTCATATATTTTATTGATTTTTTACAGAGAGGAAGGGAGAAGGATAGAGAGTTAGAAACATCGATGAGAGAGAAACATCGATCAGCCGCCTCCTGCACACTCTCCACTGGGGATGTGCCCGAAACCAAGGTACATGCCCTTGACCGGAATCAAACCCGGGACCCTTGAGTCCGCAGGCCGATGCTCTATCCACTGAGCTAAACCGGTTAGGGCGGAAGCAAATGTTTCTTAAACATCAAATTTCCTTTATTGAACAGCAAAAATAAAATCTCCTTAAGTTTGATATAAGAAGAAGGTTCATTGTACTCCATTGATGTCTGTTGTGACCTTTATTTTTCAAGCATTTCAAAAGTTTCTCCTTATTATTGCTTCTCGGCCTTTTGGCTAAGATCAAACGTCCTAAGGTATTCTGTTTTAATCAGTTTAACATCTGATACATCCTTTATCTGTGGGCCACATATTGGATGGATTTTTGGAACGGGGAGATGGAATAGGAGCTTGCTCCGTCAATAAACAAAAAATTTCTCTCCTTACACACTACTTCTAGACCATCGTTCTTCTCCTCTCTCTTTAACCCTTCCAAATTTCTGGTGTTCATGACATCCACATTCATTCATTCTCTCTCTCTCTCTCTCTCTCTCTCTCTCTCTCTCTTTCCACACACACACACACACACACACACACACACATACACACATATATACATGTATTTATTCTTAAATACATCACAGTATGTATATACATGGTGGAGCAAAAGTAGGCTAACAGTTTGAAATAGTTTATTCGTGTATTATTATTTATTAACATTATTTTCCATACAAACAACTGTAAACCTACTCTTACCCCACCTTGAATATACATACTGTGATGTATTTAGGAGTAAAGGGGCATCATGTTTGCAAAGGACTCTTAAACAGTTCAGAAAAGAGAGAGAGAGAGTTATATAGTTATGTATCTATTGCTGTGTGTGTGTGTGTGTGTAAAACTTTGTTGGCTCCTCTTCCTGTGCTTCACCACTAAATGACTAAAACTCAAAATTCTACTCTTGTCTACCTTTACACACACTCCCTAGGTGATCTCTCGGTCCTATTGCCTTAAAGTGCCACCCGTATACTGATGGCTCCCAAATTTATTTCTTTACATGATCTCTTCCCTGAGCTCCAAACTCTAATATCCAACCACCTATTTGAAATCTTAACTTGTACCCTAACTGCCAGATTGAACTTAACATTTCTAAAATAGAATTTCCCCACCAAGCCTGTTCTTCTTCAATCTTCTCCATTTCTTTGAATAGCACCACTAGCTACCCAGTTGCTCAAGCCAGGAACCTAGGGGTCATGTCAATTTCCTTCTTCCTTTCCTCCCACTCTATCCACATAGCCAACCTGCAGCTATATCCTGGGTCTTCTTCGCTCCCTCTCACAGCTTCCTTTTCCCTCTCAGCCATCATCACCTCACTTGGCCCCCTGCAAGAGTCTCCTATCTGGTTTCCCTGCTTCCACTCCACCCTCTTAGGCACTATCCTCAGAGCAGTCAATGCAATCTTTTTTTTTCTTTTAAATTTTAATCTTTATTGTTGAAAGTACTACATAGGTCCACCTTTTCCCCCATTAACCTCTTCCAGTTGTCAATGCAATCTTAAAAAAAAAAAAAGCCAATTATGTCACTGCTCTCATTAAAATCCACCAGTGGTTTCTGATTGCACTTAGACTAAAAGACAAATCCCGTTCCCCGGCCCCTGCCCGCCTCTGAGATCTTTCTTCTATCACTTTTCCCCAGCTCCCTGGACTCCAACCACGCCGACCTTCATGCAGCCACAGGGATTATGTCAAGATCATTCCCATCTCAGGGCTTTTACCGTTGCAATTCCCTCTACCTAGGATGCATGTGCTCCCAGATTTCCTACGGCTGGCTCTTTTCCTTCAACTCTCAGCTCAAAAGTTACTTCCTCAGTTACTTCTGACACACACACACCCTTATCCACATCACCACCTAGCATACTTCCCTGACTCACTGCTTCATAGCACCTGTCTGTATCAGAAATTACCACGTTTGTGAAGTTCATGTCAGGTGGTTTCTCCAACTGTAACGTAAGTTCCAAGAGAACTATCTGGTTTACTCACCAGAGCACCCCTGATGTGTGTCAAGGACTGGCTGATATATGTACATCATGTGTACACACATAGGTATGTGTGTACTATCGGTAACTTCTGAGGGCAGGATTGTGTCTTTTTCCTCTTTTTGTCTTGCACATAGTAGGCACTTAATTAATATCTGTGGAGTAATTAATGTACATCCTATTTTCTTCCAAATGCGATTAAGATGGGCAGTATTTTTGCCTGATTAAAAAATATCTGTCCACCCCAGTCACTTACAACAAAACATCCTATTTTTAAAAATCACTTTCCCAGGATTTTTGTGCTGTTCTGACCATTTTCATTGACGTGCAAAGGCGGAGGCGGTTTCACAAAGCATTCTCTTATTGGCCTTCCACGTAATGCTTTTCATTCTCCTGAAAAAGACATACTGAAAACATTCCATTCTCAGGACAGGCATCCTGAAAGCTCTCAAGCTTCGCCGACAATTTTTTTTAAAGCCACAAAACCAACGATTCCGTGGATTTTTGTCTAAGATAAATGAAGGAACGTTTGCCTCAGGGCTTCTGTTAATGCCGGTTAGAATCTGGGTTAGAATCTGGGTGTTGCAGCTGAGTTGCTCTGTTGTTTTACAGCAGAAGCTGCAGACCGACTCTCCTCAATTCATGCATTTCCATAACATAGAATGTCATAAATTGATTCCAATAGAACAGAAAAGAAAGTCTTTTCTTGAAGCTTCCCCTCCCCCCAATCTTTTAAATTCTCATGTGAAATTTATATTTTAATGTTCTAATTTTTTAAAGTTACTAAGCTAACTTCTCCTTAAGAAATTAAACTTTTCTCAGTTCCCAGCATAACCTATGCTTGATCTGTTCTCAAAGAAATGAACTTTTGCTGGAAAGTGAACCCTTGCAGTTGTTTGTCTCTCCCTGGCACTAGCAATACTTGTCAGCAGCCTTCTCTGGTCTTCACCATCCCTCTCCCTCTTTCTTGGTCTTTATTACCCGCTCCTCTATTGACAGTAAATTATCAGATGTGTTCTACGTCTTTCAAAAGGAGGATGTTAATCTTTTTTCTTTAAAAAAGAAATCCTCTCTTATTACAGAGATTTTTAGACGGGATTTTTATTATCCCCAAACTCCATCAACTGAATAGTTTGCCATGTAGCATGGAATATACAGATTAACATATGAGTTAACTAAACAAAAGTTACTGATAAAATAAGAAAACTTTAAGCTCTTTATTCATAAATAAAAATCCCACATAAAAGAATAATATTTCTATTAAAGTACCCATTTCCCTATCATTTTTGTATTTAAATTGAATGGAAATCATCATTAAATTAAAATAGTCCACAACGTAATGCTGGTAGTGCACAGGGAACTGAGCATAAAAGGGAAGTACAGTAGGACAACTAACTACAATGGTATTCTTGGCTAGTATTGGAAAACTTAAGTTTAGTAAAACTTTAAAGAGGGGAAAAGGTGCATCTTTAAAGATAAACATAACTTACTAAAGTCAGTTTTAATATATTTTAACTTTATTTTACATTCAGTGCTTTGAAATGGGTAATCACATCAATTCTCTTGAAATTAATGGTTTATATAGAATCAGATATAAAGATATAAGGGCCTCAGAAAGATGGGACTGTTCATTGTTCTGGCACATATGCAGAGACAATGCTGACTCAAAAGCAGCCAAGCGGGCAGCTGCAAATGGAAATACTAGGCAGGCATAGCTCAAAGCAGTAATTAACAGAGCAGATGCAGAGCTTGACGAGGATGAATAATTGCATAGGCAGTAACGGTAAAAGGAGCCAATAACAGTACTAGTTTTGTAAGAAGTTAGATAAGCTCTTTGTGCTCATGGATTTGTTAGCAAGACCACTTCAATGCCTAATAGCACAGGAAGAAGATCTTTTAAAATGCTTTGATTAAATTGACATGCAACTTTATATAATACTTATCAGTAAAGATATTTACAAATCAGTCAGACACAAGAAAATGTAGAGTGAACATAAAAATAATTTTGAAAGTAAAGAATGAAATAATATTCTAGGGGCATCCGGCTGTTTTTTGGAATTCTTACGTTAAATGAACTGTTGAAGGAGGAGGCCCCTTTAGTGCGCATCATTTTCTAATGTGTGTGTGATGGATGTATAAAACCTTCCCTACTGACCAGCAAGGCTCTTGAGGATAAGTTTCATGTCTTTTATGTACTCTAAAAGTACAAGTCCCAGTGACTGTGTATAAATAAATGGAATGAGTGAAATAATACATTTTGGTTTCTTCAAAATATAATGAAAATGGACATTCTGATAAAGCATGCTTTAGTAAAAACATTCAGAGTAAGTTGTTTAAATGGATGCTGACATATGACTCGGAAAAATCTTTCAGGAGTCTTTATATTTTGAGAAACAGTGACTTTAAAAACTAGAAATATGCAGGAGTAATAGATGCATTTATAGCAAACTTGGAAAGTGGGTTTCAGAGTTTTAGGTATATAAAGAAGCTAAGGGAGGCATAGAAGGAAGCTTGGTATGTACGATTCATTTACAGCCTCTTTCCTTAGGACATGTTTTGCAAGGATAATTGCTCTTATGAATGCAAAGGATTCAGTGCTCATTACTATATCAAGTGCTTTAACCTAGAGAGTTTTTCTTATATACCCATTTTATATCATTCTATTTTCTCTGAGTTATCATTGAAAATGCACTTTCTATTGTCTACTTATTCATTAACTCACAAATAATTTATTGAGTACCTACTGCATGCCAGGCACTATCCTAGATGCTGGAAACATTGCAATGAACCCCCCCCCTCCCAATTTTTGCACTTACAGAAATTTTATTCTAAGGACAGACAAATCAGCAAATATATAATAAAATGAATAATGTTAAGTGTTAAGGGAAAAAATGAAGCAGAGAAGGGGGATAAGAAATCTGAGAAAGGAGTGGAATTTTAAATCGAGTGGCCAGGTAAGTCCTCACTGAGACATGCCATTTGGATTAAGTTCTGAAAGAATTGAAGGAGCTGTCGTGGGCATCTGGGGGGAGAGCCTTCCAAGCAGGGGAAATCCCAACCGGCAAAGGCCGTGAGGTGAAAGTGCTTGTCATAGTTGCAGGGCATTGAGGGTGCCCCGAGGGGACCAAGGAGGCGAGAGTAGAGGGAGATGAGATCAAAGGGGTGGCAGCAGGCCAGGACATAAAGGACCTCATAGGTAAGAAAGGAAGCCATTGGCGTGTTTTACTTAGGGGAGTGATATTTCTCCCGGCCACAGGATCACACTGATCACCAGTCCTATCAATACAGTTTGTATTGTAGCATTGAGGATATCATGCAGGGGTACTCATGGTAAATGTATCTGGGCTTCCTCGAGTAATAAAAGGTGCTCATATTATCCAGCTCAACCTCAGGTTTTTAGCTTTTCCGCACCTTCTAAGTTAACTGAAGGGCGGAGAAGACTGGC